GTGATGACAAGGAAAAAAATGGATTCATAAAAAGGGAACTCCCAACACCATCAGGGGCAGGGTTGTGTGTGTCCCTCTTTGTTATGTTGTTCAATTCCTCTATCTCGAAACGATAAGCAGTTATCAATATCTTAACGTTTTTTTCTTTATTTACGAAGTGATGGCAATTTTTAAAGTTCACGATACAATAGGCAGATAAGTTTGATCTGCGGAGTGAAGCGTAACGTTGTAGGAGACATCTTAAAGGGGCAGTCAAGTGGTTTTTGAGTTCGTGTTTTGATAATGACAGCTGAATTTAGACGCCTTAAGTATCCCTAAAAACCAAAAAGTATAGTCATACGGTGATTATTTCTTTAATAAAAATGTAATTGAAGGCCGCCAAACCTCGGATCCATCCGAAAACGAAACCACTCTCATTGGTCGTCGCACGCTTATCAAAAGGATCTCGGGCCAATGGCGTTGGACGACGTTCCGTCGCGCAGTGATCCCGAGGTAGCCAGGTAGCCGCATCGGCCGAACCTCTTTGCCATTCGAGCTTCGATCATTGCGGAGTTCTCTACGCTCGAGGACCTGACGCCGTTAGAGGTTGAAGTTCTTCGGCGGACAGCCGACCTGGGGATGATTTCCTATGACGCCACTCCGACGTGCGATGTGGACGATAGCAGCGCTTCGGAGTCATGTTCGGGTTCCGAGGACGACGAAACGCAGACCTTTTCGGGCGTTCTTCGATTTGCGGTTGGGGCAAGTCGTAACCAAACCAGCGTTTGACATCGCAGCGTTACCTCTGGTACGTGATGTCAAACGATGTCGCCACGTTGACTTTCGCCTCGGGAGAACGGGGGGAAGGTTGGTTCAGACATGCGCAACGAGCGCGTACCTACGACTGCGACCGCACTGCGCCGCGCGTACACACACCTGTAACCACTACAACAAGCGCAGCGGGTCGTCAGCACGGCGACCGCTTCTGTACGCCGCCGTCAGCTGTGTCAGCGGCCCCTCTAAAAAAGGGGACGCAAAGCTACTCAATGCCGTAACAGAATATAGACAGACAGTTTTCTCGTCTAAAGCTTTATTATTTTTTCTTGATAGGCTTGCAGGGTACAGCGAATGAATAAAATAAAAAGATGCAGCGCCGTCTTGGACGATCACGACTCTAATACACGACATTGCAATAGTACAAATATCGCCACACGCCTTTTCTACGATTATAAAGGACAATGTAATCTTAGCAGCGATATAGCAACGTAGAAATATGATTTCGTGATCAGATAGACGTTGCGAGTGTTCAGGATTGCTAACACTAATCACTTTTCTCCGGTGAGGAATACGCGTGAAAATTCGTATCCTTTATACGGTACGCGCCAGTAATACCTTGAACTTGAGCACACGCATGAAATGCGCCAAATCAGAAATCCGGGCGATGTTCGAGGACACAAATGCTTAGAAAGCACCACTGTAGTCGAAGTAAACAAACACGACGGCACGGGCGTTTCTGCTATCTTGAGAGTGCCGCCACGACATCGCCGCACGAGTAGGTGGACGTTCCCTTCTAGTACGTGTTGGGTTATCATAGCGAAACACGACGAAAATTCACAGTCAAGGATAGCGCTTTTACGCGGAACGATGATCTTTCACCAGGCCGTCCATTCCGACGATCACCACCGACGCCACGTTTGCGGATAGAAGGAGCCGGCCTGCAACGCGGAACGCGCGGAGATACGTGCGCTTCCGCGCATCCCTGGGGAACGGGAAATTCACCCCCCGCGGAGGAAGGCAAATAGAAAACGTAGTCCCTTGTTTGTGAAACGATAATTGCGCTATCGCGTATTCTAAACTAGAAATATTTTACGTCTTGTGAAATTATCATGCACAACATATTTAAATGAACTGAAAATTGTTTTTTCAGCGAAACTTTAAAAAGACCGCCAAAATTTTTAAACATACGATAATTTCATTGGTCCTCGCAAGTACAGAAAAGAGTCCGCACGTATTTTATTCCTGCGTGATTAATAGGCGTTTCTGCCTTCTAAAACTGAAGATACTCATCCACTGACACTTCCTTAACACCATCGCACCAAAAAGTAGCTTCTCCAAAAACCGCTTGAGTGTCCCTTTAATGGCTTTCAAAAGGAAAGGTTTAAACTGAGAAAAAAAAAAGTGATGTTGCAAGGTGACTGATCATGCGAGGGTAAGCAAGCGCCCAAGATCTGCTCAAGGAAGTAGGACGTACCCGCAAATATTACTGAGAAGAAAAAAAAAATTGCCAATTCTGTGTGGTTTCAGTTATGCCATTTTAGGTATTCTCTGATGAAATATTAAGAAATGTTTAGCCTAGCTGGCCACAATATTAATATATTGACAGAGCATACAAATATATGTTAGTAGAACGTTATGTTTCTTGGGTCTACTGACATTTACCGTATTTACTCGCGTATAGGTCGACCTGTTTTTCAAAAATCGCCTCATCAAAACTGGGGGGTCGACCAATACGCGAATCCCGGTATTATATTTTTCAACTTTTTTTTTTTTTTCGGGGGTCCCGAAGTTAGGGGGTCGACCTATACGACGTATCGACCAATATGCGAGTAAATACGGTACATAGTTTTAAGCTGGAATAGCACTTGCAGCACGCTGTGCAGTCGAAGTGAATATAAACATTCATCATGGAAACCACCAGATTAATAGTAGGGTGTGTACAGAAGATTGGCCGGACAATTGTAACAAAAGCGGCTCTGAAATAGCAAGCTAGTTTTTCAATGGGCTTCTAACATTGCTGTGTTCGAAAGTTAGGCATTTATTTTTAGAATTTCCCACGTCAACTTTTATATTCAAATTTATATCGTTCTTTACTACGTACAAAACTTCATTTTTTGTTGTTTTGAATTGTATTGGTTCTATGAACCAAGCAATGATTGAAAAGAGTACAGAAACTTCTTTTTCTTTTCTCGGATTGTGTACGACCACTACATTGGTCGCACTGTTTAGCGCAATCATGCTGTATCGCATCTTTCTCCACGCCACGTGTCAGTAATGTATTGTTGTTTCTCGACGCCGATGATGCACTTATCGGGGTTGAAAGTTAATCCGGCGCGTTCGGCCACAAACAGCACCAAGCTCAAACGTTCGTCGTGTTCTTGTTTTGATGACCCCCAGACCAGCGGCCTCACTAGTGTCACCGGCACCCGGGGCGGTGGCCCGCGCCGACCCGACCCGACCCCCCGCCCCCTTTGCGACGCCACTGCCTAATATATTATAGATGCACACTTTGACACCGGGAAGACCTTCGAAAATTTCGGTTGGAGTTTTCTGGAAAACTTCCGAAGCTGACGATATCCCGAACGGTAGGCGCAGAAAGCGGTAACAGCCGAAGGGTGTTGCAAACGTGAACGCACGTTTGCCATGAGTACCTTTCTTGGTGCCGTTCAAAAACGCACGGAGCACGGACCGACTGCAGTTTACCCCGGTGTTCTCCAGATAGACGTCCGCTGGTGCCATGGGCAGCGAAGGGCAGAGAACTAAGTAAGCCGCGCAATGGCTTCACTCACGAGTTTCACTCTCTCCTCAAGCCCAGAATATCAAGTCTACGTTAGCCACCATTATGTTTTATTTGTAAAAATATCTGCTTGATATAAGATGCGTCCAGCTTGGGCAAAACAGGAAGAAAAAAGGAAGACTATACTATTTTCGAAGTGCTCGCAAAAAGCTGACTCACAAAAAGAGTAACTAAGAAGCAGATAACCTGGCTGGAATTCACAAATAAAGTGGGCCAACCCTAAAAGTAGGACTACAAAAAAAAAAAAATCTTTTAAAACAGGATCAAATAAGGTGAAAGAAGCAGGAAAAAAAAATACATCCAGTTTTCTAAGAGAGGATGACAAGTGTGCATCGACGAAAGAGGATGCTTGTGGCAATAACACCTTCACATATTATCACATCTCTTTTAGTGGATTTAAGGGTACACAGCGCGTTGTCTTGTGTCCTCGTCACTATAACCGAGAAGGACATTGTTAATTCTTGTCTGTGCACTTACGGCCTCGAACTTCTCGAAGAGGCACGCAATCACTTGGTATCCTCCTCTCCCTGTCTTCGACCGCAAAGAAAAAACAAAGACACTAAAAAAAGCGGATATAACTGCCTCCCCCCCCCCCCCCCCCTCTTTTGTAGAAATGTTTATTTGGATCTTTTGACATTGTTGTTAGGGTCTCAAAAAGAGCAGATTCAGGAACTTGGTGTTGCAAAAAAAAAAAAAAAAAAAAAAAAAAGGCTTTGCGGAACTGAAGAGTGCCAAGCCTCCCTTTGCGCTGGTCAATTCGCGTGACAGTGTCACTGCGCTCAACTTTTTACCCAAATGAAAACGACTTTTTCTTTAGAAAGGGGGGGGGGGGGGGGGGGGGGGCCTGGTCCTAAAGAATGTAACGGATTACAAGGAATCAGTTACGAAAAATATGTAAGGGAATTCCTTTAAAATTACTTTAGAAAATATGTAATTATTCCCTTACTAAATTACCGATAAATGTAACGGATTACAAGTAATTTCATTACTTGTAACGGATTACGTACAAGTCTGCTCTGTACCATCAGTGTCATAAAAACAATGCTTTGCAAGTTTGATGTAGCACAAAATGACAGAACAAACACTGCATATTCTCTGGTGGAGTTCTGACATTGGTGAAATGGTCATTAAAAGTACAATGCACCACACACTCCACCATTTACGTTCATTGTACATATGTATGAAGCACATGAGCCAATTATTGCCAAGATTATGCAACTGTAAAACAACCCTTTTTCCACTGTTCTATTAAGGTCGTCGGAATCTGGCTGGGATGTTTCTTCATAATCTTCCTGGTAGTCGGAATTCCCAACTACATCCAGAAAAAAAGGCGGGAAGCACAGGAGAACAGCGACCGAATTTCGCAGGCCTTGGGACAAAGGCTCTCCATGGACGAGGTGCCAGGCTTGGAATAAGCATGCACCCTTGACACAACAAAAGTCCCACGTATGAAACAAAATAAATTTATTCATCCAATGAAAGTCTTTCAGGTAACAAGTTTAAATACTCTTCCATTTATATATTTCACGTTTATTGCCGATTAATAGTGCCAGGCATTGGTCAAGCTATCAGATCTAGCCATCACTCAGCAAACAACATCCTAAGGTAGTTCATTTTGAGAATGCAGACAGATGTCTCTGCAACCTTGCCAGATTACTTCCTAAGTTTTGCTTTATTAATATGCATTCCAAACGTTTACTACAACTGCTCACTTCGGCGAGCTCAGAGGCGGCATCTTTGGCTCGCTTCTCGTAATCTGTTGCTTGCTTTGTCCAAAATGAAAGGGAGAAGCTCATCCATGATGATACGCTTAAAATTCCGGCCTTACATTGGCTGAAATGGCAAGGTCAGTTTCATCCGTAAAAATGGACACTGCATGGCCATTTTTTTTTTTCTTGAAAAAATGCAATGAAGCAAACTAGCAGGGTGGTAACACCCCACCATAATAGTAGATGTACTAAAAATAAATAAAAACAGCTATATGACAGTCTATGTAAAAAGCGCTGCAAACTTGTGGCGAAAATTTCACACGAGGCACGAACATACGAGCGGCACCGACCACTGGCACCGCTGTCCAACATGAGGATGCCACACTGATCTCCGTTTTGCAGGTGCGGTAAGCATGCGACACCACTGGAGATGGTGCCATTGCATTGGGGACGCTGAATGAAAATATGCTGCGCAAAGCCCCTTCTGAAAGGGAGGACAGTGTAGCAGCAACTTCTTTGAGGAGTTGCCGTGGCATCACTACGTTGCTAAATGCGCCAGCTCATTAATAGAATGGAAAGTTGGGCAAGTTGGCGAGCGTCCGTCGTTGAAACAGTGTAAAGGCCTTTCTCTTTCGTCGTTTCTTTTTACACTGTTTCCACAATAATCTCATTGGCCCCGGTGCCACAGAAATAGCGCACGGACTCATTGCCTGGAAAGCAGGGAAATCTTGCAGTCTTTCGGCATAACCGCATTTGGCTAAAGCGCTGGATATTCTGGTAGTTTTGGCCAGTAGCTGGCATCAGGCAAACGGTGTGTGGTGAACCGCTATACTGCTAGCATGGTTATGGTGCCTGAAACATGCCTCTGACTGCTGTGTTTACCGCATCCTCATTTGTGGTCCCTCAACTTTTGCCTGATGACGTCATCAGAGTCATGCTGTTGCCCGGCACTATCCTGCAGTGGTTTGCAGGAATGCTTTAAACAGAAATTCCATCCACAAGGTAACATGCCAGGACAGTGGTGTCAGAAGTGATTTGGTGGCGCTGTTGGCTACTCAGAAAAGTTATGCATTCACACATCATAATCATTCCACTTTGCTGAACGGACTGCTCCTGAGCCCACTGCAAAAATTTCCAAGTAATATTTCACACTCATTTATGAAAGTAGCTTTCGAAATTGCCCGAGGTAGCACCAACCACTAAAATAACATCTTCAACGAAAGCTTGATGCTAAATCGAGGCACCAATGTTTTCACTTCACTTTAAAGGGACACTAACACCAACATCCCCCCCCCCCCCCCCCCCAAAAAAAAAAAAAAAAAAATATTAGTTCGTGATTTATTATTGGGTCAGGAGACTACCCAATCAATATTTTGCTGCAGAGTCACATATATTTTTAATAAAGCCTAAAAATCTCAGCTGCTCGAAACTGAAACACGAGCACGGAAGTTCATGACCAGAAGTCATGTGGCTACACCCAACAGCGCTTCTTTTTTTTTTTTTTTCCTCTACTTCTCCGGTTTCTGAAGCAGACAATGACGACAAACTTGCGTGAACCGTTTGTCGTGCGATTGTTCCGCATTTATATCCCTTCCGCTCAATGTTCTGCACTTGAAAATCTATTGGCCAGCACCAAGAACAACAGATTTGAAGTAGCGGCCCCACGTCCGTCACAACGTTCGTCCGTAGTGCGCCGCCATCGTGTCGTCCAGCCTGCGGTACGTCGCCATATTGAGATTGGCGTGTTCATGCACTTCCTGTAATCTGTGCACCTTTTTTTTTTTTTTTTTGACCGACGCATTTGCAGCTTTTTGGAGGCCACAAAAATTAGGGTTCATAACCTTTTCCATTTTTACCATTAATCTGTGTCCAAGATAACCCACGACCTAAAATATATTTGGTACATTTGGTACACATAGTTTTGAGCACCACATGACCATGGAAACGAGAGTGAGCGCGATTGAAACTGGCGAATTCTCAACCGGCTGTTTTCCGGCGGAAAAAGAACAAATTTTGAGCCGCAAATTGTGTTCTGGGAAGTTGGGCTCTTATAGGTCATATTCAAATAAAAACTTCAGCGACCATAAATACCCTGTCAGTGTCCCTTTAAGCAGTTGACATTTGATGCCACACTATTCATTTCTAGTGCAATAGCTTCTGTCAACGTAATGAAGCTGCTGAGTGTTTTAGTGCGAGTGGTGTAGACTGTCTAAAACAGTTTGAACAGTATCACATTATGTAGTTGGTTGGTGCGTAGGTTTTTATGGCACAAAGGTAGCTCAAAGCCACGAAGCACTAAAGTATCATACTGGTATATGATGCACGACATCCTCCCGCATGTTCAACAGCTCCAGTTCTTTACAATTAAATGTTTCTATCACGAGGCATTACTTTACAGGAAGAAAGCAAGCAACTTGTTTCTTGCACTAATACCAAAGGCACGTGTCTCGACAAGCTTGGCTTGGTGCAGATACATCATTATCATCTTGTAAGATAAGTTGGTGTTTGGTACCTTCATTTGACAGTCTTCATTTAAACACAATTGAAAAAAGAAAGCAGTCCGGTGTTATGAGTCTTCCCTCTTGTCTTTGTACTTGACGTAGGGTGAGTACACGTCGAATCCAAATGATACCAGGTTGTCGAAGAAGACGCGGTACCTTAGCGGGAGCACATAGAAGTTGAGGAACTGTGCCGGGGGCCAGATGAACCACTCCACCTTGTAGATGGTGCATCCTTTGGCCCAGATCTCGCTCCGCATCTCAGCCCAGCCAGAACGTTCCAGAATGCCAACCGTTCCAAAGTAGACTGTCAGATTAATGGGTGAAAACACCACTTGGTCGTACAGCACCTTCAGAAGGACTGTACGCAGGGACCGTCCGAGCATCCAGCGATCCAGTAGCACATACCTACAGTGGATGTACGATAACTTTAGACAATGCATATAATATATACACAAAACAAAAAAAAAAAATATAGTTGACACTGTAGTTGACAAGTGACACTTAAACTTGAATGTGTTAGTTCAATCCTTAGTTTAGACCAACACAACCCAGAGAAGGAGTGAGGATTCAAGACAACCCAGGGCCAGTTTGCTCAAAACATTGTCGACTTTATAACCAAGGGTCAGAAACTAATTGCAGCCCCTAGTGGCCCAGGGAAGTACACAGGTGAATGGCGGAATGTGCTGTAGCTACATCTTTTATTAGTGAGCAGAAATTTGCACCACCTACAGTAATTTTATAAACTATTACCAGCATAAAAATGGCATATTCCATGAGTCAAACCATTTATCATACTTTTCAATATAAAACCTCGGTTCTAACATTAAAATAATTTTGTTTAAAAAAGGGCAAAATAACAACGGAGAAGACGTGCACTAAAGAAATCCAACAAATGTTTAAAAATATTTTTTCGCCGAAGTAGGAAGTGCTCATTTTCCGTTCAGCAATAATTATAAGTGTCTTTTTCAGATTTGACAGCGCAGTTTCTCATCTTTTTGTTATCATTAGCATAAATTCTCTCTTTGTGGTCAGTCGATTTCCACTGCTAATTTTTCAAACCTATTCGACTAGCCCGCAGGCCAGCCGCCCGGTTAGCTGACAACTGAATTTTGCTCAGATTTACACAACAGGAGAATAAACGTGACGAGACATTGAGATTGATAAGACCGCATGCACACACAGAGTTGTTATGATGATGAGATGGCAGTTTCTATTCCGCCTCATAGACGAGTTCAATGAGGATGAACCGGAGCAGTATTTCCCGTTTGATCAACTCGCAAGATATTACATTTCTTATCAAGGCAGTGCTGCAAAACTCGGAACAGTCATGTAGCGAACATAGAAAGAGAGTGACAATACCTAATACCCTCTTGAGATGTGTCCCATATTTATGAAGCATTGTGTACGGTCTGTAGTCTTGTGATCAATTAAAATGACACATTGCATTATATAAGCTTTCATATCTACTACATTGATCCTCAGCAAGCTGAATGTCAGCTGCCATGCAGACTGACCTAAACATTTTTGGCGGCGGGATTCATTATCAGTTATTTCCCTTGACATAAGGGCGGCATTGTAAGAAGTATGGACATCAAATTATCAATCCATTCAAAGCATAAAGGCACCCTGCAGCGGCCAGCTCATCAAACGAAGGGCAAGGGCTTGTAGGCACTTCAACTGGCGTTCCTGTACTGCCAGTCGCACAACCTACAACTTCCCCAGACACGCCACTCCCATGACATAGCCCTTATGAGAACCCTTGGTGTCTCCAATGACAATCTTAAAATTCCATACATGCGGTTATCCCGACACTAGCCAAGCATCACTAAGGCTGGTTCAGACACGTCGCAGCACTAATTCTATACCAGGAACAGCTATGATGCGGCACTGACTTGAACATAGCTTAACGCTGATGCAGCATTGTATCATTAAGAGCGTGAAGTCAGCATTGCATCAGCAAGGTGAGTGCCATTTCCAGCACTGACTAGTAGCAGTGAGATAATGCTGTGGTGTATGTGTTAAAAGGCCTTTATCCCGCTTAATTCTGACTGCATCCCGGCCCCTACTTACACTTCTAATTCATGCCTACAGTAGCAAAGTCTCTTGAATGCAATTACAGTCACCCACCAGTAATGAGAAATCATGCCAGTTGTGAGTCCGGCGGCCCCCATGTGGAATGTCCGGACGCTGCTAACTTGAGCCTGGTGCCCAGACAGAATCTCATAGTGCTGCTGTACAAGGTCTCCGGCAACCCCCATAACCGTCGATATCGTTGCATTGGTGAGCACGAGGTGCCGCCCGAACAGCGCACGACCCACACTGCGGAACAGCTGCAATGCTCCATGTTCCATGAAAGGGATGCCTAAACCTGCGAGGAAGAGGCACCGTCAGCTTGGCGGTATGTCCAAGACTTAGGGGGGTCGAAACGCATAAGTATATTATAGGTCGGCTGGATTTTGGGGGGTGGGGGCTGAAGCCCCATAAGACCCTCCCCTGGCCACGCCACTGCACCATACCACATTCTGTTGATACCGATGATTAAATGACAGTCCATAGAATAATGCTCAAACAAACTAGTACTTACATCAACATTAGTGCATTCTCAAATGTTTCAGTAATGGAGAACACAAAATTTTCGGGTACGGTGAAACAAATTTGCAGAAAAGGAAAGCAGGCCCTTCACCACTTTCGTATCGAACTTGGTAATTTCCCTGGCAACAAATTCAACAAATTGCTCAGATGAAAAAGTCACTTCAGAAACTTAATTTACCATAAAAAGAGTATCAAACTAAACAAAGATGATACAATCGACTCTCATTAATTCAAAATTCCAGGAAGCAACAGACTTAATTAGTTTGAAATATCAGAAGTTTGAATTATTAAAAATTCATCTAGATAGATGAATTTTTGTAGATACAATACGTTAAACAGTAGATACAATATGTTGATCATTGAGGGGTCATCACCGACTTGTTATGCCTGATTAACATGGTCCAATTCTGCTTGTGATTTTCAGTATTGACGTTGAGCATCGCAGCTACCGTCCATGCTTTTGCAGCTCGAGTGACGTCGCAACTCAAAATAGCAAGCAGAATCTCATCCCGTGAATCGGGCTTTAGTGCCCATTCAGCAACAATTATGTGAAATGAATCGCTACATCTCACATTATTTACACAAAGCTCTCCGGTATAAAGAGCCTCGTCAATTTTGCTCAGGCCACTAAAGTAGTAAGAAATTGCTAGGAAGATAGAATCAACAATTCCAGCGCGAAAAAGAGCATGGGGACTCATATCGACGCTGACATCACATTCCAATGGTTTGTTGATGCAGGGCAGGGCTATGGTGGGCTAGAAAGGGAAGTTTCACGATTGGGCTTGCAAAAGTGACTCGGTGATTCAGCATGCGGAGCTGTGGTGGGCTGTAGCGGGGTGGAGATTTATCGGTAAGTGGATAGCAGCGCCACCCTGCACAGCAGGGAATAGAAGGTGAAAGAAATACATAGAAGGGCTTCACACGCCCACCACAGCTTCACTGCAGACCGTCTTCATTGCATCAAGCTCCATGTGCCATGCCCAATTTCGTTATGGCTAACAAGAAAATATTGTGTGGCACTTCACGATTGTGATCAACGCTAAAGACATTTTCTTCTTTAGTGTCCACAGTGCGGCGGAGTGACGTTGGGGCGCTGCTGCGGGGCATATCGATGCTAATGCTATGTGCTGAACATACTCGCCATTTTCTTCCACTAGACGAAGCGAGCGATTGTCACACCTCCCCTTCTAGCCCACCATAATGGAGTGCTTCTAGCCCACACCCCATCGCGCGTGCGCGGCGTCGGTGGCATGCCACTAAGAGTGCTCGTTTGTTTGTAAACGTGGATTGGTGTATATACAAGGTGGCCCCCAAAAAACTTAGTTTTTTTTACCACAAAAATAAACTATGCTTCGCCGAACACTCATCCTTTACCCAAACGTAGTGCTAGAGATCCGAACCAGATGCCAAAGTCACAAACCAATATTTTATTAAAAAGTTATGTTATTTTCTGAAAATTTCAATGGGAAAATGGTGGCCGATGGAGATCTCAAATACATGGATCTCTATGGCGCCAGAAACCTAACACGGGCAAAAATGGGCCCCATTTTCCCATGGAAGTTTTCAGAAAATCGCTTACAACTTTTGAATAAAAAAAGCTCGAGGTACATCTAAGCGCTTCTTACGAGTTGTGAATGCAAAAGCATAGAATCCCCTCCGACGATGTGGATACTAGAGGCGGCGCCATGTTCGTCGGCGTCAAGACGAGCAGAAGCACCGCCGACAATGTGGATGATGGAGGCGACGGCATGTTGGTCGGCAGCGAGACGAGCAAAAACCTCAGAGCGCGTGCCAACGTGTCAGTTTTAACCGGTGCGGGGCCCATAGTGGCATGGGGTTACGGTGGTTAGTTTTATCGGCGTGCTGGCAGCATGGACACGCAGTGCCATCTGGCGGCGGTGGTTGAAACTGACGCGCGCAGCAGCCAATGGGAGCCTCGTCGCCGCGCGCCAGCCAGTGGGATTTTTGGGATCAGGGAAACTAGGTGCCATATTCGCGCTTCAAACTGATGACGTCGGCTCGCTCCATGGGACAGTTAATGCTTTCGCATCAATATCGGTTTGTGCTGAAACCTTGGCATCTGTTCGGACCTCTAGCGGTACCTTTGGGCGGAAAATAAGCGTTCGGCGATGCGTAGTTCATTTTTGCAGTGAAAGAAACCCTGTAAATTTTCTTTTTTTAGATTATACTTATTAAGGTCTAAAAATGCACAAATATTTTTGCATCAGGCTCACACCTTTTCCCTTCGCGCCGAGAAAATGGAAGGCAACGAATCTTTTCTCTCTTCTAGCAGAGGAGGGAAATGTTCGCCTTCGATAAATCTTGATGACCGCAACCGCTTCAGTGCACCTCTTGCTTTTCCAATGTACGGATGCTTAAACAGAACATAAAAGTTAATTTCAGCCTATTAGAATAAACATTTAAGCATGTTGAAGAAAAAAAATTACAGCATTAGTGTACCATGTGATGAAGCAATGGCGAGAAGGACGATCATGAAGAACTGCAGAGAGCCTATCGGAGGCTTTGAACTCATCTATCCCCCTCAGAGGAAAAACGTCCGCGGACAGACACTGTGGCCGCTATTGCGGCAGGGCGTTTGAAGGTCTTACGATCTTACCATCCTCCGTTCAGCAAGTCGATGAACGAATCTGAGCAAAGAAAGTTTCAGCCGTACCGAAGTTTGGTTGAGCATCCGCACTGTCCGCACGTGGCCACTCCACGTGCAAAGAGAAGATATGATAGCGCCAGGTGACAGTGTGCAGCACCGGGAACTAGGGCACCAAAAACCTTGCACGTCCAACGTGCAGCCTCCCGTTGCTACGCCGCTACTAGAGCACTATATAGTAGTGATGGGACGAATCACCCGAGATTCGGATTCGGACAGATTCGGAAATTTCCGAACTTCCCTCGACGAATATTCGGCAGATTCGGAGATTCGTCCGAATCGTCGCTGGTTGCAGGCGGCAGCATGAACCTTGTCGTAAACCTCGCGAATGCGGTCAGTTGTGCTTTTCTAGCTACTGTTACTGCATATAACCAGAATTCGTCTTGTTTATTTCAACGTATGGTATGTACTGTACTGTCATTCTAGACCCTGGCACGCGCCCAGGTCCAGCTGAGCTGATCGGTGTGGTTGACGTAGGCCTAACCAATGCACGGTCTCGCTTTCTCTGCGGTTTCGCGGTGATCGGTAAAATGTAGCGAAACGCTTTTTATTATACGTAATGTGGCGCAACGAAAAATAAATATATATTCAGCCAAGGAAATGATTCGTCTCCTTCTCTAGAGCTGCGTATGTCTGTACCTGTAAGTCGCGAGAGCGAGATACCGGTGGCAAAGAAAAACGTGGCACTGTCGTTTCTCCGTTCTCGGAAGCAAGTTTTGTATACGTGAACTTTATTTGATGAAAAAGAAACACAATATAGGGGTGTCCAACGCAACTTCATTGTTCGGAAACAGACACTAACTAAATCGGATAGCATGCATTAACGAAGTTTCAGATTGTTTCCCGTGTTCCGATAGCAATACCTCAGTGGATAGTCGATCGTTGGAGATAATCGAATCGAACATACTCACTTGTGTGGTGTGTGCCACACTGACAGTAATTATCGGCACGAAATGTGTCTGTACCGAACAGCACTTACGACATCGATCTCTTGCGGCGATGAAAACATGCGCTTGTATTTCCACGTGCGTGCATCAAGCATGCCTATTTGGGTCGTAATCCAGAACCGAAACCAACTTTCCCGCGATGTCTGGCTACCGTTCTCGATAAACATCCAAAATAATATAAACAAAGTGGAACATTTTATTTATTACTGTGATATTATATTACAATAATCTTTCGTGTACTTTGTAGAATTTAGTGAATTTAATATCACAAAAAGTTGAAACACACATCAACGTGATTTAGCAACCCTGGCAACGCTCCGAATCTTTCCGAACTTTTCCGAATCGCTTGAGATTCGGCTACTTTTCCGAATCTTTCCGAATCTGCAGATTCGACTCCGAATCTCGATTCGGATAAAGATTCGTCCCATCACTACTATATAGCTCCTACGGAGCAGAGTAGCGCAATCCTTTGAACTCCGTGTTTTGCCGACAACATGGCCGACAGAGCGGCTCGGCGCGAGTCACGTGGTACTCAGGGTTCCAGGAGGCGGCCCGCCCTAAGGGAGAATACATGGAGATCGACATAACACGGCTGATTAAAAAATGAACGGAGAGTTCACATTTTTCAAAACTAGCCTGTCGTAAAGTTAGTAAAGCGCTAAACACTTTATCAAAGTTTTAATAATATCGGATGCGTGTGGAAATTTTGAGAAGGCAATTTCCAAGGCAATGGCGTTTGAAGCAGACGATTTGTGCTCGCAGCGGAGATGGGCTTTTCGGGTTGGCCGGAGCGGGTCACGTGAATGGTGTGACGTCGCCGTGTCGTCTGCTGCATGATGCCGCTCAGGCAATTTTTAAAAAAAAGTTACTTCCTTGTATGGCACAAAACTTATCGCATATTATTCTAAAATGTTTCATTATTATGTCAAAAATGATTTCCATTCCGCACATCCCCACAAAACTGAAGAAACAACGATTTTCTCACGTTCTCCATGCATTTCTGACAGCAGTTGGAACTGCCGGGCGTTCGCCGCTAGTCGCCGAGAGACGGCGTTCTAGATTGCGCTACTCTGCTCCGAAGGAGCTATATAGTGCTCTAGCCGCTACCGCGTTCAACGTGTTCACGTGCTTACATGCCAACACCCAATGAGGACCCTCCGCCTGTTCCCGCTAAATTGGGTGCTGCCTTGCGCCGCCTGGTGACATCGCCTGTTCCCGCTAAATTGGGTGCTGCCTTGCGCTGCCTGGTGACGCTTTGGGAAACCCTCAAATTTTTTTCGTTTGTGAACGTAGCGCACGACATTGATCACCAAAATCGCATTTGTTTTGACGCCTGCGATTATAAGTACACAAACCTACAATACAGAGCCACGAACGTTCCAAGGAAGCGGGAAGTCTTACATACCATGCAAGATGGTGTACAGTACACTATTCGTAGCACTCATAAGGGTGACATGAAGTATGGTTTCATCTTCCAATTTTTTTACGGATTCAGCATAAATTTCCTTCAAGAAAGTCAACATTCATCAGTATCCGTAACCCTCCCTCCTCCCCCCCCCCCCCCCCCAAAAAAAAAAAAAAAGATTACAAAGCAGTACACAAAAACCTGTGAAAGCCCAAAAGAAAACTAAAAAAAGTTTCAGCTCATCGCTTAGTCCTCTGTGATTGCATATCTTTCAAACATTTCCATTACTAGTTTCCATGTTAATATCTAATTGCAGTTGTAAATTTTTTTTAAAAATCTATTTTTGTTTATTTCAAAATAATGAAATTGTTCTTCAGGTAAATACCCCAAACATTGTCCTTCTCTATAAACAAGCTTGAAAACGAAAAAGGTTAAGCATTTTAATGTATCAGGGCGGCTATATTCGACAATTGTTTTGTTTCTCCTAAAAAGAAACGGAAGTCACGATATCGCGTCTGATTGGTTAGAGGCTCAAATGACGAAAGTTGCCTCTTTCGTCATTTGAGCCTCTAACCAATCAGACGCGATATGGTCACTTCAGTATCTTTTTAGGAAAAACGAAACAGTTGTCGAGCACAGTACTCAGAACCACAGAATATCCAATAGAATATGTGGAGGGTTTAAAAAACAGAAGGGTGCACCAATACGGAAGAATGACATTAAACTGAGCCACTTTATTATTATCCATTTTCAATACAACTAAAAGGTGACACACAGTGAACTTCAACAGGCAGACTATATACAATATGACCATGCTGATGTGGCATCTTGGACAAAAACCAAAGACAAACAAAGGAGAAGGCAAAAAGTGACGTGATGTCTGTTGTCCAGAGTTCTGCCCGGGCTTCAGCTCTATCGTCTGCCACGCCCCCGGGCTCCTCTCCCACGGCCTCGGCCACGCCCCCTTCCTCTGCCACGGCCCATTGCTGCAACACAAGAAAACACATATTGGCACCCGCTGCTAGTAATCCATTGTCTACAAGCAGCAAGAGGCAGAATGATTCACGGCTACTCAATGCATTAATGGACACTCCCACGCCCCAAACATTTCTTGTAAATTTTTTACCAGGAGATTAATTATGGTCAAATTTGGGGGTTTTACGTGCCAAACCAACGACGGACATCTGGCACGCCCCAGCGGAGGACTGATGATTACTTTGGACCACCTGGGGATCTTTTGAAGTGCAACCGAAAGCTCGGTTACACGGCACCTCCTCCGCAATAAGCCTCCGTCAGATTGCGGGCACTTCGGCCGGGATTCGAACCCGCCACATTCGGATCCGTAGGCCAGCGCTCTCGCCTCGGAGCCACCGAGGCGGCTGCGATTAATCATTGTGTCAAAAGAATATCTAATCAATATTTTACTACAGCATCATATATATTTATAATAAAGTAAAAAAAAAAAAAAGAAACTGCTCAAAATTGAAACAGGACTGGGGAGGAAGAAATATACTGTAAACGACTTATTCTTCAAGGGCTCAATATTTTGCGATTTAGGTCAGAAATGAAGTTTTGGGATAATTTGCGGGTTCTAATTTTCGTGACGCTGTGGGATCTTAATATAGATTCCAATGTGTTTACATTTTACTGGAATCATTCGCGGGACCTATTTTTCGCGAATTGTAGGCAATTCGCAAAAATTATGTTTTCGCGAAAATAAAGTCGTTTACGGTAATAGCTGCGTTCGATTTGCCTACACTTCCTGCACCGGTGCAGAAAAGTGTAGGGCAGTGTACTTCCAGTATGTATATTCAGATAAGACCGGAAGTACACTGCCCTACACTTTTCTGCACCAGTGCAGTAGGTGAAGGTAAATCGAACACAGCTAATGTGTGTTGCCAAAAGTCATGTCACTGTGCAACTTTTTTTTCTTTCTTTTTTTAATTGACATATTTGCAGTGTTTTAGAAACCACAAAATATGTGTACCATAATTTTTTTTTCCTCCATTTTCAATATTGAGTGTGATCCTTCGATGACCCACGCAATGTGACCACGGAGAAGAGTGAGCGTGACTCAGACCGGCCAGCTCTTGGTCGGCGGTTTTCGGGTGGAAAGAAACCGAATTTCGAGCCACAAACTGTGTTCTGGGTAGTTTGGCTCTCGTATGTCATGTACAAAGAGAAACCTTGCCGAGCATAAAAGTGTGATGACAGACACGGTACAAAATGGGCAGTAAGCCACGTTCCCAACTGATTACAAGACATTTGATGGTGGGAAAAGAATGCTCGGCAGCTGATTCACTAAGAAGCATGCAAAAAACACTCGACATACTCTGTTTAAAGCTACTTGCGTGACCTGAAAGTATGTACTATTTATTTGTGACGTCACACCACTGGAGAGCGCGCGGAAATTTGAATCTTGGTTTCGGCATCATCTTCATTTACGGTTTTCTCAATTGCGGTCTTGAATTTCGAGAAAATATATAGCATACCGTAAAGGATAGTTAGAAAATGCAATTTGTTTGGGTACCTCGAAAAATGACCGCAGTACCCCTTTAAGAAACATTCAATGCTCAAAAAAATTTTTTTCTTTCAAACTGTCTATACTTGCGGTCAGCTTTCTGTGGCAATCCGAAGAAAGGAGGAAAGCGCGTGTACAGCGGTTGGTGCACCCTCTCCCCTAGCATTAACTGCATTGCCACAGAAAGCTGACTGCAAATATAGATAGGCCATGTATGCCACAAGATAAAAACAAATAACATAAAAAAGAAATACAACATTTACGCCTCGAGGTGCTTTCCGAGTTTGGAGCAATGTTGTCTGCTCGCACGTGCTGGCTCGAAAATGACTTCTATTTCAAAGTCAATGACGCGGAGGCGACAAAATAGGAGTAATTTTGTCAACCTCCCATTGGCTCCAAGGAACGCAGTAAAAAGGTAAGCCCACCGCATACCTATTCTCCGCACTGCCCCACACTATGAAAAGGCTGGAGACGTAGGTGCTGAGGAGGATTGACCTGAGTGCGTCATCTTTGGCTCCGTCTATATTGTGTCTCCTGGCATAAACATTGCCCGCTTCCTTACATTAACTTTAAAAATGCATCTTGTTGCATACAATGAGGCCAAAGAATGAAACCCTCCTCATGGAGAAGGTCTACCGGACACAAGGAGGAACAACTTCTACTGATCGGCTAGTGCAGGGATAGAACCCTGCAACCAGTGTGGCCTGGCTTTTTCAGGCTTTCCCCGCTATTTTACGGAAATTGCCGAAAGACTTGAAGTAAACAATGCCTAAAATCACCAACATTATGATAATGGCGTGCTCAGAAAGAATATTAAACAAGATTTTTGTCTGAAGCATCCACTGGTGCATAGCACAATGCAGTTAGCATGAACAAGCATCGCCAGTTTTTTTTTCTGCTTTTCTTTTAAAGAATGTCATCAAAAACTAGTTGTGTGGTGGAAAATGCTCATTCGGACCTTCCGCTTCAGTGGTGCAACTCGACACTCTTCAATGCCATGCTCGATTAAAATGCAAAAAAAAAAGAGCCAATGCCGTGTTTACACACCGCACCTGTATGATTATTGACTTATTACTGATATAACTAATGGTACACTGAAAAGCTCTGCTCAGATTCACAAACTTCTCTCTTTGCAATGTTATTCCCAAATTCCTTGACATTTCGAGAAGAAAATTTTCCTGACAATTGAAGGCCTCCCCCACTAGCAGGCATCATAATTAAATAGTTTTCGAGCTAGTTTGGAAGCGGCCTGTAAGCTTTCAAAATACTTTCTAGCAGGCTGAAAAGAATGTTGCAATACGAGACGTGACGAAAGTGCCACCTGTAGATGCAAGGGTATTTGTCAGCAATCTTGTATTTCCATCCACGTGGAGTGACAGAAGAAAGCTTGTTTGTCAACAAAATCCAGGGTTACACTTGGTTCATATGTCTACTTTCTTATTAAAAGGGCACAGATCAAAGCCCCTGAAACACAATGCGACAACGGGGCCCTGATCTGGACACTTGGTGAGAAATCGGGCGGCTGTGATTGGCCAATGCCGCACTTGACCTTGGTGACGGCCAATCATAGCCGCCGGATTTCTCGCCACATATTTCGCCAAGCGTTCATATTAGGACCCCTGGTGCAACAATTCCATTTTTGTTAGTGGAACAACTCACTCATTGAGCATTTCACTTGTCATTGAAGCCTCTTCAGACAATTGTAAACTTATTGCAACCAAGCTGGCTTTGAGAGTGAGGGAGTTTAATGCGCTATTCCATTTTAAAATACTCTTTACACTATTAGTCAAGTCAAATTTGGGGGTTTTACGTGCCAAACCAACGACGGGCATCTGGCACGCCCCAGCGGAGGACTGAGGATTAATTTGGACCACCTGGGGATCTTTTGACGTGCAACCGAAAGCTCGGTTACACGCCGCCTCCTCCGCAATAAGCCTCCGTCTTTACACTATTAGAGGGAACCGTTCAGCCTTTTGTCGAGCATAAAATGATAAGAGATTGTTAGGAAGGATTCACTGCTTTAGTCGGGATTTAGTTGTAGCACAAAGAGCAATGTTTAAAACAAGAAACAATCGCAAGAGTCTGAAGAATTTAGAGATTATGAGCACAGACAAGCAGAGAGTATGCTTAAACTCCGTCTAAAAGAGTGACTGTGAAATCATGCATCAGGTCAACACAGTTCTGTAAGGCTACTGTGAAAGAAAACATCCATAAGAGACAATGGTAACTTTCTTAATATGACCATACCCTCCTACAGGTATCTTCAGTGGCAAACTACACACACGAGCATATACTGATGACACTCTTGATTTCTATGTTTCAGTGAAACTAATCGTAACTAGAAGTAAGAACAGATGATGGGAGTAATAAGGCCACCCATTGTTTTTGCCAGTTGACTAGCACTCTATGCATGCAGAAACTAAGTGAGGAGATAATGAGAGTGTGTCGGGACACCAGAATGCTGAGCTCTGAATAGAATGACTAGTGGGTAAAGGTAGAATTCCTGTATAGGCTCCCTATGGGAGCCAGAGTTGGCGTGTTCTTCCCCGTAGCGCCCTCTTTCCTGTATGGCATGTTGATCCTGCTCCTCACGTGACTGAATTCGGCAAATAGCGGCGCCGCGCGTTCGAGGCGCGCGGCGTGCTCTAAAGCAGGGGAACATACTGTCGAGGCGTGTGCAAAGTCTACTTTCCTCCACGGCATTTGATCCGGATCCTCACGTGATCAGATCACGGCGAATAGCGGCATGGTGGCACGTGGAAAACAGACGCGCAACTCTGGCTCTCGTAGGGAGCCCATACAGGAACTCTAGGTAAAGGCAAAGCTACCTTTCCTCCACTGCACTCGTCGAACGCGTTAGAACGCGGAGCGCCGCCGTCCACGACGCGTTCAATAAGTGCAGTGGAGACAAAAGCTAGCTTTGCCTCCCCCCACTAGTCGTTCTAGTCTGAGCTCAGCGCTCTGGCATCCCCGCCCGCTCTTGTTTCTTCTTCAGTTTCCGCCCGCGTACAAAAACACAAAAAGCATGCAGCAAGCATGGCCTACCACACTCTGAGGAGGTGGTAAAGCAATGAAAGCTCCCTTGTAAACGCACCAGCTTCCTTCTTCTTGGCTTTAGCCTTGGGCGTATCGTCAATCAGTAGCGTTTCCAACGGAAGGCTGTCGGGCAGCAAGTAGTAACGAATGTTGTTGCCCCTGATGCTCAGACTGTCCAGCTGAACAGGCTCTCGGTTCTTCATCGTCATCTTGACTGCCTTCAGGTGGGTGTTCATGGCTACGTCCACACCTTCATGCACAACCAGAAACGTGGGGTTGTGGTCAAGCAAACTGACAATGATTAGTTGCATAGTACTCTGTCCAACCAGTAATCAACAATCATAAAGGAAATATTTCCATATAAAACCCGGTTTCATGCAATGACTTCCCTCCAAATCAAGGTTGAACAGCTCTAAGTGAAACCAATCTCTCTTGCAATACTCTACATTGCACAGTTGCAATGCAAGAGAATGAGTCTCTTTGTAACAAATTCTCAACTTCTACAACATCAAAGGGCCCTCTCACACACACACACTTTCCAAAAAACTCATAACGCCATTTCTCCATGAGAAAATTAGAATGCCGTCCACCCATTCCCTGGACTTCTAAGGACTTTCATCTACCATACAGAAAATGAAACCAGCATTTTGTGCAGCTGCTATGCTCAGAAAGATGGGGCCCATGCACACAAATCTGGATGAAAAATGTTTGAATTACCAGAAAACTACTGGGTCAAAACGAAATTTTTGGAAGGAGCTGGAGAAGAAAATCGGCTTCTTACTACTCAGATTCAAGAAAAAGAATAAGCCTGAAAGCAGCCCACACCATCTATAAGGAATGATTGAAGGGCTGGGTTAGTGTCGGGATGTAGGCAAGTTGGTTCATGGTAAACGGAAATAAACAGTGCGCAAAAATTTACAAGGATGAAGGGAAGATGCGAATGACACAAGCGCTGGACTCTCAACATTTATTGAAAAAAAAAAATACACGAGCGAAGTAAACCGTACTATCGCTTTAGCACGTGTTAAGATAAGCAATTCCTTTCTTGTGAAGAAAAACCGATGTTTGGCCGACGCATGCATCTTGCCCCTCGTTTGTTATTGCATCATTTCCAATAATTCTCTGCTGGCCTTATCTGTGCCGCTCCTGATGATGCCACATTGCCCTTTTTTGCAATCAAACAAGCATATCGAAAAGGACAGAAACATAAAAATGGCAAGCAACAGTAAGCAAAAACCATGTGTCAAAGTTGCAATAGAAGTGAAACGTCGCGTTGGACAAAAGATGGGTAAAGTTCTAAATTGCCCACTCCCAATATTTACAAAAAAAAAAAAAAAAAGTATAAAAAAAAATTTGCCGTTTTTTGCATTGGTCCGAGAAACTGTTTATAAAGAGCATCCCCGAGGGGAACCTCTTCACCCATATTGTGGATGCACGCACTGGTACATACAAATGGTGTACGCCTGCGAGGGTACAAATTGTGTAGGTGTGTATGTGTGCGTGCCGACGAGAAGTGACCACGACGGCGGCGGCGCGGGCTACTAAAATGAATGCCGCGGCGCTAGTTCTCTGGAAGAGCATTCTGTGCACATACATTGAATCATACAAACAAACACACACATGGTTTCAGCACTTGTATCTCCCCACTGTGGTCCCTCCCCCAACCCCCCAACCAAACTTCCAAAAACATTGCTGCTAAAAAAAGAAAAAAAAAAAAAAAAAGCAACGGCTTGCTTTACTTGTTTTGCAGCCATAAAACCTGAGCCCGGCCCGCGGGTCGGGCCGGCACATACCCGTGCACACCTCTAGCAAAAATGGTGAATCCCTCAAATAAAAAAAAAAAAAATTAAGATACACAATACCAGGCTCATCTTGGGATGCAAATACTGGGATAAATTTAATATACCGCAATATCTTGAGAGATGCCCGACCCCCCCAAAGATAGCACTCCTATTTGACATGATTTGCTATTTTTTTCAAAAACACAGAAAGGTAGCCCACCTCTTCCAAGTACAGGGCCCTGGCCAATTGTGTCCTTGGCTAAAATGGCGTTACTTAGCCACGACAGAACTAATATTTTTTCTTTTTTTTCACTACACAGTGAAAGTTAGCCCACTCCTTATTCTCACCCGGCTATCTCTTGGCATATTACGGTAGTAAAACCCGAGTGAGGCAAAAGAACAAATAAAATGTCTCAATTTATAGAGGAAAACGACAATCAATAGGGGTGTCGTGACCTTTTGTCGAACCGGATTTTTAGGTCTAACTTTCGGAGTTCGACGAACCTTCAAACTTTTAACCAGATTCGACCGGTTCAACTTTGTGGACAGTGCGGCGAGACCTTGATACAGGCATGTCTAGGTTTCAAAACTTTTTTTTTTTTTATGCACAGGGTTGTTTTAATTTTATGAACAGTTGCAATTAAAAGAAACTAATTCTAATCACTGAAGAAGTAACAATTTAATTTTTTTTACTGTATTAACTGTATTCGTTTGTGCCTGTTTCACAAAATCTACTACCACAATCATACTTTGCGTGACAAGTTATTAGCACCTCCTTTTTACATATCACAGCGTCTTGATCACCGACACAAGATGGGCGTACCTTCATGTAACACTACTACTTTTCACAATTCATTCATACCCCGAACTACAGTGTTGTGGAACCACCTTCCAGCGTCTGTGGTATCAATATCTGACAGCGTTGCTTTCAAAAATTGCCTTAACAATGTTCACATTTCAGCGTTTCACTAATATGTACATATTGTTTTACATTCATAGGTTGTTATTCATTGTATGTTGTTGAATTCTATTGATGTAACCCGCTCCCCTCTGTAATGCCTTCGGGCCTTGAGGGAACTTTTAAATAAATAAAAAAATAAAACTGAAATAATCAATCAGTGCTGCCCTTAATTCATCCCTAAGCCATCACCATCCAGTCCGAAGCCAACTGGCCAGCCTGTTGCGCATGCGCATAACCGTCAAACCGGAGTCAAACCTTTGTCGAACTTTTCACAAGTTAGAAAAAGTCAAACCTGGCCGAAATTGAACCTCGATCGGTTTGCGACATCCCTAACAACGAAGTACACTGGACAATGCCTGCATCAGGAATGATAATTAAAGACAATGTTACTAGGCAGGCGAGCTGGTTGTTAGTCGGCATACTAAAAGCTGGGACGGAGGCAAAAATTGAGACGTTATGCTTGTCCTTTTTGCCTGTCTTGGGTTTTAGCATGTCGAATAACAACCAGCTGGCCTGCCTAGTGACACAGGCTAAATTTACCTTTTCACTTTATGTGATTGCATGCCATTCCAAACAGAAAATTAAAAAAAAAAAATTTATTTTTGAAGGTATACAATTGGCTCCCATTTATTTAAACTGCATGATCCCTAGCCCATATACAATATCATAAAATTCTTTGTTAGCACAACTTACAACAACTTATGGAAATCAGCTAAGATTTCAACAAACCTAATGTCAAAACACATCTTCCTTACGAGACGAGGAGCCACAGCTTTAGTTGAAATTTCAAGTGCTTTGAGAGCTCCGGGCTTTGTTCAGGAAATTATATTTCTGGCAGGCATTAAAGGGGTACTCCGCCGATTTTTGAGCTACCTCAACTAACTATATTTTCTGACTCCCAGGCCTTTACCCTTTCTGGAATGCTATTTAATATCGTGAAATTCATAATAGTTATTGCGAAATCGGCAAATGAAAATGATGCAAAAACAGACATTCAAATATACCCGCCCTTTTCAGGGCCGTGACGTCAATGGAAGTTCAGCTTGCCAGTCGGGCGAGCAGTCTAAAAAATAGAATATGCCAATTATTTGTTCCGTGCTGGAGCGCGGGGACTGGAGCGAGCCTCCAAGGCATTCATTTGACACCATGAAACTGCTTCAAATCAGTTGGGAACAAATTCTACAGTCCAAAGAGTGAACCCCTGCACTTCCAATGACGTCACTTTTTCATTGTTGCCAGTAAAGACCTTCGGTTTGAAAAACACGGTGAGGACCAAAATTGTAAATTCAATAACTTCGTGAAAAACAATTATTTTGACCTAATATTTGGGATACTATTTTGGCGATGTTGTTTGGCGAGTTTAGCAAAATTTCAAGCAAATCGGGGACCATGAAGAAATCGGCGGAGTACCCCTTTAAGGAAAAGACAATATTACAATCACAGGCAAGCTTTAAAACATTCACATGCGAGAAACTCAAGGCTGAGGATGCACACACGACGGCCACAACACAAAAAGGTCCCATACATTTTACACATCTCAAAATTAGCAAGGGGCATACCAGTGATAGTCCCATGTACCTGAGTGCCATTTTTGAGTTCAATAGTCACTGTTTCATGACTCAATTTCATCAAAAATCTGGAAAAAAACAAAACAATTTTCTCTTAACAATATGCACACACACACAATAGCTTAATATTCATTTCAGTCATATCAAAGCCATCTGATGGGCCTCCACACTAAAGTTTCACGAGATGGGCGGCATCTTTCCTCACTTTGATTACAAAAATATGCAATTCCCTTTGCAAGAAAAAAAAAAAAAGTAGTATAGGCGTGAAATACGAGGGATATTAACCGCATTTGTATGTTTTAGGAGCACCAAATAAAGTGAGGGTTGGAGAAGGTCGAACTAAAAGAAGTTAGGAAAACTCTTGGCAGCCAGGGATTACTCCGAGCTCGGTGAACCTGTCTTATGCAAATGCAGATTCCCCACAGCAAAGTTGTGTTTGCTCGTGAACCAGTGGTGAGACATGTTGTCACATGTTTTGTTTCGACCTAGACAGTTTTAGATTTGAATCCTCCCATGAATTAATTTTCTTTGCCGTTTTTATTTCTCTTCAGTTTTAGAGAATTCTGTGGCACAATCACATAACATTATCACTACTCTATCATCAGTGCTCTCTGGGCGAAGGAGTAACACAGCAATGTTTGCGAACAAAAAAAACAACAGAAGAGTTGATGTGATGCCAGGCAGACGCAAGAGTCGAAATTTTGCAAAAATTTGTTTGAGAATGTAGTGGCATTTTGTTACATTGAAAAACAATGAAATTTTTTTTTTCTCGAGAGGCAACTTTCTCTAGCGCTCGCACACAATGAGCACAGATTAAATCTGTGCATTTCTCTTTAGAATGCCATAGTAGAGTTATAAAGGTTAATGTACATTTATCCACTCATCCAACCCGAAGTGATATTCATTTACATTTCTAAATACATGATGATTGAAACAGTTGGCATCGCTTTTTATTAACTTTCTTTTAGCATGACCTTTCCCAGCAAAAGCTCTACATGACACTTACAAAGTACACAGTTCATTTCACTCATATTTCAAGCCCCTTAAACCTTTTTCTTTGAACAGAATCAGACTTTTGCGATTGAAGACAGATCTGCGACAGCCACCACGCCTCAAATCGATCACCTCAGAGATCCAAAACAAGTTGCCGAAAACTTATTATTTCAATGGTATTCACATATACCTTTTTAGATTTCTGGAACTTTTAGTATTGTTCGGCATTACAGTTTGTAAAAAAAAAAAAAAAAAACTCAAACTTGGGAGGCTTATGTGCTGCCTGAACAGTTAAACCACTCCAACAGCTCAGAACAATGGCGAGAGATGGCACCAGCACTCAAGGAGTGGTGACACAGCCTGTTTTTATGCTGGAGACTCAAGGAAAGTAGACACTCAGTGAATTAAAAAAAATGGAAAGAGCACTAATTTATGTGCACGGTTCCCCTAGGATTCGGCCCTTTGTATGTAGCGGCATCTGTGGAAAAGACAGATTGTCTCGTGCGCAACCGAAACCACCACGTTCTAGTGCAATTAATGACATGTTTAGCTGATTGAAGCACATATCGCATGAACTCTTGTTAATAAAATTGCCACCTTTCCTCGAGAGAGAAAAAAAAAAAAAGGCTAGTCCAGCTGCGGAAAAAGGGGAGGGGGGGGGGGGGGGGGGGGAGTTATGCGAGATTGAACTGGTAAAAAGAAAGATGCAGTGTTGACAGTCTTAACTGATACAGAGATTCAATTTATTTTGACACGAGTTTCCCAAAGTAAAATCCATCGACATAGACCTATTAATACATCATAGCACATGTAAGTACACAAATGCACCACACTGAACTCAATAATATACATAGATGTATACCAGTTAGTCAAAATTAAGGTTCCAAAAACAAATCTTGCACACTCATTCTGAGCAGGAGGTGAAGAACCAATTATTGCTATTTACATAAAAATGGCAGCGAATTAAATAAAGCTTCAAGTAAAAGTGGCTGTAAGACACTAAGCATGATACTGGGTGAGCAGATTTCGAGCGTACATCTCTGGATGTTTTGGTAGGGAATGCAGTTATAAACCATGAACACCAGCACGAGCCTACGGCTTGGAAGTTTCCGGTCACTCGTAAATTCGTGTAACACAAGCATGTTTTCATACCTCTCGAATCATGAATTACAAAAGGATTGTGTTCTCGAATTCAAAGTGACGTTTTGCTCGCCATTCTCTCATCTCCTTCAGTAAATCGCACTCTACATGTTACAGTGAATAAAAAATGTGCCAGCTTTTTACCAAAATGATCTCTTCTTTGTGTCTAAGTAAACCATTTCATGGACCAGGACATTGTATACGAAACGTCGATGGTCTAGAGTCTCTAGACTATAATTATAAACCCCCCCCCCCCCCCCCCCCAAAAAGAAAAAAAACGCTTGGAAAGTTGGAAAAAAAAACTGCAAAATGACAGCCGGTTTTCAATATGCCGGCAACTGGCCTTCCATGATAAATAATAATAATAATAATAAAAAAAGAAAAACCGTGTTGGTCAGAAACCGAGCAGGTGGCACAGTCAGTTCACGATTGAGTCGGTGCGATTCCACTGTGATACAGTCTAATCAGAATCCCAGTTTGACAACTGCAGCGTTGAGCCTGCCAGACGAAATTCCTTATGTGCCCTCCTTTTTAGAATCGGAGAAGCGTAAGTTGTTCTCGTGATGAATGGGCCTCCTAGCAACAACGCATCGACGAGCACCATTCAAGAACTGACGAACGCTTTTTTTTGTTGTTTTTTGTTGTAGCATGCCAGCGCGGAATGCCAAACAAACAATTAAACTCCAGATATCACACAAAGCACACGACGTACGAGCAACAGATTCACACTCCAATATACAACTTTCTTTTGCACTGCGTCTTTGGTAAGACGTTGGTCGGGTAAGCGCGATACCGGGGACGCATATCAGTTTTCGATGAATACGTCCATTGAATTACTGAAATAAGACAGGCATTAAACACCAATGATTGTTAAAAGGAAGGTAAGCGCTAATAACACCCCTTCTTACCTGACTAACTTCATGATTGAAGTGGATGAAGATTTGATCTTAAAAAACTACCAACGGCGCCCAAACGTTTTGTTTACGCCGGTTGTTTCAAAATGGCGCCGGCTCAAGGGCTGAACTGAAGTTCGGCAAATTCCCCAAAATCAGCCGAACTCGCAGAAACACGAAAACTGACATGCTATTTTTATTGCTAATTTATGCAACATACACTTAAATAACACAATAATATTTTAAGCTTAATGCACATAATATATTTTGTAATAATATTTCGACGCGAAGAAGAACGTTGTGGGTGGGCTTTGCGTTTGCTACTCAAGTACTCAAGTCTGCATCCAATCCAAGATCTCGGACACCAGCCATGGACCAGCCAGAGTTATCTCCAAATTGAGAAGAAGCTCCTTGTTGTGTCTTGCACTTCAATTCACGATGAATATATTACCGAAAAAAAGGTTTGTAACCTATTACATTGTTTCACTAACATGTTCTTCGCATTATCTGCTGCTGCTATTCAGTTACAGGCGCTCCTGCGCCGAGTCTATCTGCGTAGCCTTGCAGGCCTCTCAGAGTAACTTATGCGGCTAATAAATATTAATTGTTAATATTTCTGTTATGGTGAAAGGAAGACCTATACATTTTATAAGAGTGCACAAATCAATGTGTAAGCACACTAGTTTTTTTTTTTTTTTCTTGCTTCTGTACAAATGTATATATATATATATATATATATATATATATATATATATATATATTCTGTGAGTGCATAGGTCGGTGTTGTGGGCACAATAGTGCATGGGCGTCAGCCTTCCCCCAACACCAGCACGCCTGTGCACTTCTACTTGTCATGTGCAATAAATAATATCAATATCAATAATATCAATGTTTTACACTACGGTCGCGCTTTTCAGCTACGCCGTTTAACTGAGCGTGCGCTAACCACTCAGTTGTTTCGTTCCGGTTACGATCATTCAAGCTTTTCCATCAATTTCACAGTTGGCATGTGCGGACAAAACGAAATATCGACCGAGTCCGGAAGGATGAGGCTCTCGCAGCTCAACAGGAAAAGGAGTTGCAAAGGAGGATCCAACTTGCTGTGAGTACTGGCTGCCGAGAACAACCTAACCATTCGAACTGCCGAGTTGCAAATATCAACGTGAAATGCGCTTACGCTTTGTTTCCTTTCGTGCCAGGAATCGGAAGCCAGAATAAATTTTCTGCGCGGAAAAGTACAGTCTGAAGGATTTGATTTCGAGAAAGCGGCGACTGCTCAAGTGACAACTGATCTGTCATCAGAGGGTCATCTCAACTTCTTCAAGGATATTGAGAAAGCAGAGGTTTGTTTCAAGATTCTTGATCTGACCGGCTAAGAAATGCTTTTTGAAAGCCTGTGATGCATGAAATACTACGCGGCGCTTTGCACCTCGCCATGTGGCGGGTTCGAATCCCGGCCGAGGTGCCCGCAACTTGGCGGAGGCTTATTGCAGAGAAGGCGCCGTGTAACCGAGCTTTCGGTTGCACGTCAAAAGATCCCCAGGTGGTCGAAATTAATCCTCAGTCCTCCGCTGGGGCGTGCCAGATGCCCGTCGTTGGTTTGGCACGTAAAACCCCCAAATTTGATTTTTGCTTTGCACCTCGCTGAGATAGCGTTGCAAGAGCTTGACCGTTCGTTTCAATTTCATGCAGCGGAATATTCATGCCACAAATGCGGATCACGAAAAGGAGAAAAAGGAAGAGAAAGAAGAGTATGAGAAAAAGATAGGACTCCTCACATACCTTGGTCAAAGTTCTAGCGAAGCTGCAGGTAAGGGAGGAACGAAATTCTACTATCGGTAATGCCTTTGTGTCTTCTGTAGCGATTGACAGCTGAATGTTGCCAGAAGGGTGCCAGTATAATGCACTCTCACATTCATTAGAGCAAACCATTTCTTCTTACGTAGTGTCTAGAGTACCATCCGACGGCACTCTTGCAGAGCATTCAAGTGCCGTCCGACGGTACTCACTCACGCGTTCAAGTTTTGTCCGAAAGTCTCGTATAAAACGAGTTCTCAAAACAAATTTTTCGAAGCGGAGTGTAGCTTAGTGGTAAGATGTCTGTCTCGTAAGCAAGCAATCCCGGGGTTGATCCCCAGTGCGGGCATACTTTTTTGTTTTTGTTTTCTCGAACATTTTATTTTGCCGACGCATTTGGCGATATTTACATTAATTTTTTTACGATTAACACAGGAAAAAAACGAATGTTGTCGCCAAAATTTCGCTGACTGAAATGGTATGGGATTCCGTTTCCGGAGATGCATGGAGTACAGCGGGGCTTGGTTTGCCGGCTGGACGCCGCGAAGCCGCGTGTACAACAGGGTCAAATGGGTCAATGGTCTTGTAATAAACATGTGTTTACTGTATACTCCGTTCCACGTAACTTCGCAGACAACAAAAGGTCTGGCTCCTGCGACCCCATGTGAGCTGTCAGAGACAACCATGCGTCCTCCCGGGGCTGTGTTGTCGCATGGCCGTGCCTCCTGTGAGCCATCGTGTATGAGTAGAAAACTTGGCTCCCGAGAGGCAAAAATAATTTAGGTAGTCTTGAAAAAAAAAAAGAAGCTTCCAGTACTGTAGTCGCCTGAAAATTATTAAAATCATCGACCTAACACGCAGAGGGAAGGACGAGAAAACATTTTAAACATTACTCTTAAATAATTATAAATTGTAATCTAATCTGATGAATTCAGCACACAAGTTTGTGCAATGGAAGGGTAACAATCCCTAAATAGTCCCACTTATCGACTTGCCGGCGCATATCCCAAGGTCATTCGGATGAGTTTAAGGATTGGAAAAGGCTCGGCACTCTGTGTTCAGCAGATGATTCTGCTGAACACAGTAGCGTCTGCTGAATCACCAGTTACGCCAATGCTTGGAGTTGCACATTGCGGTGTTGATGCAAAGTTCGTTGAATCCAAACCTCAACTCTTTTGAGAAGCGAGTGAGCATCATACTTGACTGTCACTTCAGGCAGCTTTTGGTGTTGTAACTCATCCTGGACTCTCGGAATTTCCGCAGCAGCCATCACGCCCGGAAAAAAGTTGCAGTGAGTGAATGGCATTGGTGCACAACAAATTTTAGTGCTTCGTTGGGTGAGAAAAAGTGAAAATTAAAAATGAGGGTGAGAGAGAAAAAGAGAGAGATATGGGAGAGGGAGGTAGAGAACAAGAGGGCGATAAGAAAGAAGACTGAGATGGAGAGAAGAAAGTCAACATTATCTACATGCCGTCAAAATCTCAGCGAATCTAGAGGCTGCTTGTCATGCACTAAGAGGACCTCCTTTTTGTTCTACCCTCGTTCCCATTGTACCACGCGCCAGACAGGCTGGAGCCTGTGTCTTGAACGTGGGCGGTCTGCCGCCGGAGTCCGCCGTCCATCTCTGGGAGGGGGGTCCATGGTTGAACGCCGCCAAACGGTGTCGTCAGTGACCTCTAGGTTGCTTCCGAGTGCCGGATTCCGACACTGAAGGCGCCGTCTTCGCGATGGAGGCGAACAAGTCCCCAGGTGCCGGTGTCTGGTCGTCAACCGGATACCAGACGAGACCCCACAAATTCAAACTCAGTTTAATTTTTTTTTTATTGGGGGGAGGGGGAGATAACTAATCATAAATAGCTAAAAAAAAGATATACAGCAAAGGAGCCGACAAGGGCGTTTGTTTACATGCTCCCACGACCGCGCCACGACCTTGAAACCAAGCTTCAGCCATTGGTGTCTATTTACTCCGCTATGTTGTCCAGACAAAGCGCTAGACGAGAGACGCCGTCAATGCAAACACAGGGAGCACAGATCAAAGTCGGCGATAGCCTTTTTTGACCTCCCCAAATGGGCTGTGTCGTCGCGTGCCTTAGGCGCCGGCATTGTGACAAAAGTAAAAGTATAGAATGATTTGTTCACTTAGTAAAGGAGCATAGAAACAAAAATCTACATTTTCTATACTTTGATCGCGCGTAACGATAAATGTTTTTTGGGTCACTGCCATGTTTTTTTTTTGACAAACTGAAGAGGATATCTAAATAAATTTTGCTTATGGTCTATTACACCTATCTGCATTATTTATAAATGCCACAATGGCCTAATATGCCAATTGATGATTTGGCACAAAAAGGCTCAGCATGGATCCATTAATGAATTGAATTCACCCTGCTGTACTTTATTTTCACTGCAATCATTTTTTTTTACCTACCTTGCACTTGGGACCAGTTGTTCCTAACCGTTTTCTTCTACATGCACTTTCAGTGCTACAGGACAAAGTACTATTAATGATGCTGTTAGCCATAATGTTTTATAGCATGTTCTGACAAGTGTCCAACACTCCGCTGATTATAGTGAGTGAAGTGAGCAGATTGAATTTCGGAAAGGTTCCAACCCGTCAGGCAGAAATGCCATTTTTTTCTCTCGCCCTACTAACCTTTGACGTCAAAGAAAAAGAGAAAAGAGCTGGAGGGGGTTAAAATCCCTCCCCCCCCCCCCCCCTATCGGTGCACCACTGATGTAATCACCTTTCCGGCTGTCCAATGCATGTGCTTCTGACTGACACTGATTAGAAGTTTGAAAGTTTCTGCTCTCTACATATCCTGTGCCTAACCTACTCAAGGTTGAACCAATTACTGAACTACAGGTTGCTCTGTTTTAGGAAGCAAACCATGGTTCGCCGAACCACATGAAGAGCGGCTGCAGCTTTCCAAGGAATCGGAGAGGTTAGCTTTCTATCATTGTTTCTTCCATCTTTTTCTACAAATGTTTAGCTTTTTTTTTTTAAGGCGAAAGCCTTAAAAAAAAACACACACACCAAATACAATACTGGCAGTTAAAACAGCTTTAATTCGTGTAGAAATATTACTCGAAAACATTTCACCTGCGGGACTATGATGCTTTCGCATTCCTACACATGTTATTGTCAACATTATGAGAAGACTAAGTGTTTTATTGTCTTATTCTACCACAATTAGGAATGACAAGGATGCAAAGCTGAAAGACAGCATGGACCCAATGAAGATCATGAAACATTATGTAAATTTGAAGTGTGGCTTGCAAGAAAATGGCAAGAAAATAGCGAAGCTGAAGGTATGTACACATTCATTTTGGTGCCCTCTGTGTCCTATGTGTATGCTAACCTTTTCTATGGAAAAAGAGTTGTTGCGTAGAAGGGTATTCACTCAGCTTGAAACATTATGGAAAATGAAATCGCCTTCGGCCACTATCGGTGTGGTTGAAGCCACAATTTGTGGCAGGTGTCATGTGTGATTAGCTACGCCACGATCGGTTTGAAAACAAGGAAATGATGGGGATAACTTGCATAGACAAGCATTCTATACCTCAAGTGTCATACATGACTAGCGGAAGGAAGACATCAATAAATGTATTGACTCATTTTCATGCCGAGTGACTATATTAATATCTCGCAAATACGCCATGAAGCAATTGGATGGCGCCTAAATTTCGCAATGTATGCACATTTGAAATTGGAGCACACTTTATGGAAGCTCAAGGATAGCATTCCGGCTTTCAGTTCCTTTTTCATTGCCTAGCGCTACTATCGTTTACAGAGGCAGTGATGAAAATGCTGCGCCATCTGTGCTAAATTGCGCCATGGATGATAGTCTGCTACATCTTGTGCCAAAACGCCAGTTTTGCTAAGAAGTGTGCCACATCTACGCCGAGATGGTCTTGAAGCAAAATAAATTGGTCGTTCCTAATATTCGGACAAGTAGAAGGAAATAAAAATTGTGCATAATATGATATTAGAGTCTCGAGTTTGGTAGGTTTATAAAACTTGGGGGATGCATTTTTATTGATTGACATGTTAGCAGGTATGCTGGTTCTCGCTGGAATTGTACAGAAATTATATTGGCAGGCTAAGCAAACTGCCGAGTGTAACATGTAGAGGGAAGAGAGGCTTTATCCGAACTGAAGTGTTGCACTGGAATTCATTTTTCAACCATTTCTTAAATCCATTCTAAATGGAACCTATTCTGACCAGAATAGGTTTCTAAAAAGAAGGCTCTGTGTTTCTTTTGCGCCCTATCTATTCTTGTTACAAAAGGTAATAAAGTGGACAGGCCAAACATTTGCCAAATCAAAAATTCGATGCCGAATCTTGGGATTCGGCAAAGCCGAAGTTTTGCCAAACTTTTTAAAGATTTGGCAAAAATACATAGTTTGCCTGATTTAAAAGCTCATAATTTGTTTTTTTCGGGTGAAGAAAGCTTTTATATTGTTTTTTAATGCATATTGACACAGTTATTACTAAATAAGGTGATATTCTGCAAGATAATCGTATCAATGTCATTTTTGTGTGTTTACTGGCAACTTTACAGTGACTTTTTGTAGAAATGGCGGGACAACGAGATTGGGTAGTAGCGGGTGCAGTCACGGAACGCGAGTTTTGGTTTTGAGGCCTCATCAGCGCAAGCCTGCAAGTGTGTACATTGTTAACCCCTTAAGTGCCACTTTTTTTTTTTTAAAAAAAGCAACCTAAAAATGCCACATATTTTTATTAAGGAGATTTAGTCCTCTAGTATAACAGATAAAATTTCAAAAGTTTATTGCGCAAAAATCAGCGGCGTCGAAAAAAAAGGCGTCAACTAAAACGAGTGCTGCCGTCTATGATCAGCGCCGCAAACTACTCGAATGAGCCTAGCCCGTCCGTGGTATTGAAAGCTACCGGAAAACCACTGGACGAGCTGAGCTCGTCCATGGCATTTTTACCCAGAAAGTGGCCGACGAGCTCAGCTCGTCCAAGGCACTTAAAGGGATGGTGAACCGAAATTTGGATTTCAGAAAAAAACAATGCAGGAGATGTAGGCGGGACGCTAGAATCCCTACAACACTACTCGTAAGGCAATATTTCGAATGGACGGCCATATTTTTGGAAAAAGAGGTTGAGGTTGAACTAGGCCGACGAGGCACATGACGTCAAGATACCTAGTTTCCTCCTCTCTTCGCTTCGCTCCCTCAAGGCGGTGACGCGGGGAAGACGCGAGGCCGTTCCCTCTCCTTCTCGGAAAAACATGACGTGAACATCTCTGTCAAATGCGCCTCCTTTTCTTGAATATTACGGTCATCCGTTTGAGATATCGCTGTATGAGTGATGTTTTGGTGTTTGTAGCATCCCGTTGCACGCTTTTACCACTTGTTTTGGGGAATCAAAATTTCAGTTCAGCATCCCTTTAAAGGGCTAAAGTAAAGGCGGTAACATTGTGTTCGTACTTTCTCTGCGAGTCACCGTTTCGTGCGCGAAAATGAATGCAACAGGCTGTTGAGCCTTTACCAGAAGAAGAGATAACAAGATTCTTGAAAGCTGGAGTCACTTGACTCCAGCTTTTTATGAAAGTGTGCGTCCCATATTCGCAACGTCTTGCTTTTAACTTTTAGAATGCCGGTTTCTAATGTTAGGACACACATGGACGTTTAGGAAGATGGGAAGAGTTAGGAATCTCAGATGTGCAATGGGTCGAGCATGATAGTTCTGTGATTAGTTTTAAGCGGATAGATGAAAACCGCGAAATAAAGCTAATTGAAACGCAATATTATTTTGTTTTGGCACAAGTTACTTGTGAGCCGGAAACAGGATTGCTATAATTGTGAGGAGTGCTTTAAAGTACTTGTCAGCCAATGTTGTAACTACCTCGTTGCATCACTTGAAGGATCACATGGAAATCACATTATCCAGAATGCATCCTTTGTCACTTGTGCAGTGGACTGTGTCAATTCCTGGTCAATCTTCAGTTCTTGAGGCAGAAAATATTGAAGAGAACCGTCCTCACAAAGGCTGACAAACACTCAGTTACCACGTTGCCTAGTCCGCACCTCACTGTAACCACTGGTAGTACTATGCTGTACGATGGTAGCCGCACGGCCCGCACGGCGTCAATTTGAAATCTATAGCCCCAACGGCCTTGTCGCGTTCTCGCGCGCGCATTTGCCGAATCTTTGCCGAACTTTCCTTCAAAAGTTTGGCATGTGCCGAACTTTGCCGAATATGAAGTTCAACAGATTCGTTTTATCGCTACTAAGTAATATGCTCCAGTATCAAAGAGGAATCCTTGTTCATTGTCATAGATGAAGCCATTTAGGGATGTAACTAATCACTTTTTAATTTTCAAGTGATGTGCTAACAGATGTTGACATCTGCTCCAAAAGCATCAGTGGCTGCTCCAAATTAATAGTTTGCCTGCAACAGAACCTGCTGCAAGAGGTCAAATGCCGCTTCCATCACTGCACACATTGAAAATTTATAATTGGCTGTATGGTTAGATATGTTTCAGTGTGTTATTGTACACAAATGCATTTGACACTTGGTGTTTGTTCTTTTGATTTTATGATCGCAAAAAAGGAACAAGTACCGGTGTTTATGGCTTGCATATGTTCATACTTGTCTCATGCATTAAGTCATCCTTAATCCTGACTAACTCTAACTTTGGCATGTCATACAGCTTCAATCTCAGTCTTCTGGCATTCTGTGCAAGTGTGTCCGGCCAGTTACGACTACAAAGTTTCATCCATGTCCAAGCACACGCTTGCTGAATGGAGTGCGTGAATATTAAAACAAGCACCATGACTCTTGGCTATATGCACATGAGAACAACAAACTGGCCAGCGAGAACGCCACACGACATTCAGCAAGAACAGCATAGCTGCACCTCTAAACACTTGCGTGCGCAGAGAGACCAGAATGTTAGGACTGCACCGAATGGTGACGTCGCATGAATACTCCCTATACACTTTTGACCTGCCTGACGGTGCAAAGTTTCTGATGATGTTAGTGATGGAGAATGGCTAAAACTTATCTTCATGTTAGGCTTATGTAATCGGCTCATGCATGCCTCTCAAATAGAGTGGAGCTAGTTTCTTTTTCCAGTCTTCCTGAAACCGTGATCAAATTTAACAACCCCAGCGAGGTAGCAGCCCAGTTTGTTGCACTAACCATCCTGGCCAACACTAAGTGGATTATAAATTTGGTCCTGAAATCTGATGGTTGATTTCAACTGAGCTGGCAAATTCATCATGGTCACCCTTTTTCTGTCTGTAGGAGCTGACTACAGCATCTGAACGGCACAGACTGTACAAGAAGAAGTCAAAGAAGGTGGGGAAGACCCTTGAAGAAATGCGCGCCGATCGACTGAAGAGAGAAAAGGCAGAGAGAGAAAGAGCACTAGAGGTTCTGAGGAGGGCGAGGGGTGAGACGTCCAGGAGGGAGAAGTCTCCAGAAGTCATTTTGGATGACCGCCGGAGGGGCTACAACTCTCAGTACAACCCGCACCTTGCTAAGAAGTTCCAATGATTCCTCAAAACTGTCACTTATTTTGTGTTCTGCCTTTTTTCTATTGAAATTAATTTATGGGCTCCTGATACACTGCACTGAACTTTATGGGAGATTACTGCACTGATTTGATGGCAATCGTGTTTGATGAGTGCTCCTCGAATTGTAGTTTTAAATCAGTGGAGAGAAGAAAAAGTAGCATTTTGGTTCCGCTTTGTGGAACTTGATTGTGTCTGTGATAAAAACACTAAATATATGCATTGTGCAAGGTGTAGTTTAGCAAAGTATTGTATATGAAGAACCTGACTCTGCTATGTAGATATACAAATACTGCAATGTTGCAAACGATTTATCCTTTTGGTGTAGACTGGCCACTTCCAATGTTACTTCCTTTTTGTGCTTTCTTGCTGCCTACTAGTGCCATTATTAAATCTGGCACTTTTGGGACAGGTGCATACTTCTTTCATCACACATTTGTTGACTATGGTGGCAGGGTGCATTTGTACCACTTGTACAGTATCATCTGGTAACTGTCATGTCTGTAAACATCCTCCCAGGATAAATATAAATATTTAGGGCAAACTGGTGGTCATTATATTTTAAATTTAAGACTGGGGAGTCGAAAGTACTAAACATTGGGCAGCTCTTGTCTGGTTAGGTTAACCTTTGGAGTGGTTGCCGAGCGTGGCTAATCAATTTTTTCAAGAGATCTGTGGAAACGTTGGAGTATAAAAAGGGCCTGTGCATTTAATTCTCTGAAGCATGTACAGGGCCAATTACTGCTATCAATGGCAGGACAGTGAGTTGTGAGGCACAGATAACATTTTTATTTCAAACGGTAATGGAAGTGCTGCACCATTAATGGCAAATTATGCCCCGAACGAATGTATGCTACATCTTGCGCCGTAATACCGTTTTTGCCAGGAATTGCGCCACACCTGCGCCAAGTCGGCTTCAACAAGAGAGTTGAATTTAATCCTTGGTTGACTCTAATATTCAGAGAAATAAGACAAAATAAAAATGGTAGAAATATGTATTTTACAGCATCTCTATTTACTGTGTAGTTTGTCTCATCTTAGGTCGGAGCACAGTTGAAGGCTCGAAGACATGCAGTCACGAACACACATACTAAAAGCGGAAGTCACCAAACGTTCGCTGCACTTGATTGATCTAGCCCAGGGGTGTCCAAGCTGTGGTTCTTCGAAAAACCCCCCTCCATTGCCCCCCCCAACCTTCCGCCATCCGCCCGCACATCAAAAGGAAAGACAAATAAAAAAACGCATCTGGCGTTTTTAAGCTTTGTGCCATTATATGCACATTCGTCAAGGTTATTGTTTTACGAATAGGTACTCACAATAATAATAAAAAAAAAAAAAAAGTAATGAATAATCGCTGATGTGTGGAATTCGCCATGCCCCACAACTGAGCAGAAGCAATTAAAGAAAACTGCTCGCCCCCTTTTTATTGCGGCTCTTTACTTAAAAAGGTTCATTTTTATGGCTCTTTAAATATTGCCGTCTGGTTACCCCTGGTCTAGCCGATGAAAGAACATGCACAGGAAAATGATGAATGCCATGATGTGGCATGTTTATGCTGTTTGATTGGTCCCAGTGGCTCGTGGCGTTGACTGCGCTTTGGTTTAAGGTGAAACGAAAATTTCTCGTCATCCACGCTGGGTGGTTGAGGCTGTGCCCGGTTGATCATCGGCATCGTCCATATTTCCGGACAATGTCGGCGATGTTGGGAGGTAAAAGTCGCTAGAAAACTTTGCAAAATAGTAGGATGGCAGCTAATGTGATGAGACGGAACCGGGGTCTTGTACTCCTGATGAGATAATTTGATTATTATGTTTGCCACATGCCTCAGTGCCATGGTACTACAGAGTACCGTGGCATTTTCGCCGATCGCGTCGACCTTCTCTGCCTCTCACCAGAGCGCACGCGTCGAGCTTTACTGCTTTGCACCGGAGTGCTAGAAGCAGCAGCTGACATGGATGAGCGCCTGGCAGGGCTGGGCGGAGATACTTCAAAAAGTATTCGGGAATACATATACTGAGATACATGTATTTTAAGGCCCAAAGTACAGAAACTAAGATACGTCTGTCTTTTACGCAACGGGATATCCCCGAGATACTTCTGAAAAACCGTTTTAAAAAGTATTCCGGAATACAGATACAGATAATTATAGAAATACATTTGTTCACGTACGGTGCTAGATGGGGAGGGTGTAGTTCGTAGCCAAGACAAACGGTTATTTGTGCTTGTGCTCCTTTTTTGTGCCATTTTATGCTATTCCCCTTACCTCGAACTCTTTATTTGTCATTAATGCCGCTAAAGAAAACATGTCAACCCCGTTGAACCACACAGTTAGAGGACAGTAAAGACTGCCTGCCATGCCTGACAAAAGGTGTCTTCCCTAAATGAACCCTGTATTGCCCCGAGGGTGCATCTCAAATTGCCGTATTTTAAGCTTCTGTGTCTATGGGCGTACCAACCGGGGGGGGCAAGGGGGGCGCTTGCCCCCCCAGTTCTCCAGTTCTCAGAGTGGGGGGGCAAGGCATGTGTTTTGCCCCCCTGAAAAAACTGCCACTGGGCACGGCAAACACTAGCCGGCGGTGCCACAGGCATACCAAGGGCACCGCCGCGGCCATGGGGGAGGTTTTGTTTTCCCCCCCCCACTCAAAAACAAGTTGGTACGCCACTGTCTGTGTCACCCATAGTGTGGGGAGTTGGGAGAAGAGGTACCATACTTTTATTCACTCAAGTTCTTCACGGCGTTCTCTTTGCTAAATTGGAGATTACGGGGCATTGTGAGAGGAGCTGATATAATTATTTTTGCCCGTAACCTTTTTTAGAATAATTTTTTTTAATATCGGTGACTGATATGGATTATGTTATAGGGTGGGTTCATATTATAAATTACAAAGCAAATTGCACCAAACAGACATTTTTTTTTATATTTGAAATTTATCTTAAAAGGTCAGCAGATGTAACGAGATACCTAAGTCTGGCAAAGTATCGCGATACAAGCGACACATCTGAAATGTATTTCACTACTAAGATACAAATACATTTTTCAAATGTATCTCGATACAGAGACACAGATACTCGAAAGTATCTCTTAAATACTATCGCGATACATTTGTATCGCGATACTGCCTAGCCCTGGTGCCTGGGTTAGTGCGATAGGCTTGGAAATTATGCTCAATACTATTACAGGCCTACCTTTTTTGGTCTTTATTGTACGTTGACCTCTAGTTTTAAAGATGTGTGCCGAAAAAGGGAAAAAGATGGGGGTTTATATTTGAAGAAATGCGGAAGTCAAGGCCCGTGCAGCTGTCGTTTGCAAGAGCAACAAGCTTTTACTCGACTCTGGTTCCAATTCCGTTAAAGAGCAGTGTCACATTTAAAGCACAAGTGTAAACTCTCATAATAGTTGTGGGTGGTTGTTTTTGCAGTTTACAATATTAAAGTCTGAGTTTGGTAGAATCATAAAACTTGGGGTATGCGTTTTTATGGATAGTCATGTTATCGGATATGCTGGTTTTCGCCGGCATTTTACAGAAAAAACATTTACAGGCTCAATAAGCTACCGAGTGTAAAAGGGGAAGAGGAGTGAGGCTTTATTCCAACAAAAGTGTTGCATTACGATTCATTTTTCAACCATTTATTCATACCAGGCATGTAGCCAGGATTTTGACTTTGGGGGGGGGGGGGGGGGGGGGGGAAGAGGAGGCCCATGACCAATTGCTGTATGAGGGGGAGGGGGGAGTGGAGGCCCCAGCAAAATGGAAGATTTAGGGAAGTGGCCCCCCCCCCCCCCCCCCCCATACACGGGGGGATACGTGCCCATTTCTATTCTTATTGCAAGAAGTAATAGGTAATATGCTCCTGTATTAAAGAGGATCCCTCTGTCATTATCAAGGATGAACTCGTTTAGCGATGCAATGCTTTATGTTTAAGTAACATGCTAACAGGTTTTGGCATCTGCTCCAAAATCGTCAGTGGCTGCTCCAAACCAATATTTTGCCTGCTGCAAGACCTGCTCCAAAAGTTCAAATGCTGCTTCCATCACTGCTAAAAATGGGATTTTTCCTGCTTACTGTTGTACTGCAGTGCTAAGAGTCGTCCAACTGAGCAGTGACCCATTGGTGACAATGATGGTCTCTTTGTGAACAACCCAGAGCTTGCACAATGCGTAGCACTCGAAGTTGCCTAAGAACAGTTGACATTAGAGCACAAACAAAAACTCTGGCCGTAGTAGAAAACAAAAGCTCAACTTTTGAGAGGAGACCGGTAAATAATTTAGTATGGACATAGCCCACTTCCATATATGATCAGTTGGGCACGTGAGTCGGAGCATGCAACCAGGAAGTTCAGCATCCATATTCCAGATCAATGATTCACACCTCGACTTGAACATTCACTGCATCGGTGGCTCCAGGGCAAAGCGCCCACCAACAGATCTCCAGTTGGCGGGTTCAAATCCCGGCTGAGGTGCCTGCAACATGATAGAAGCTTTGCAGAGAAGGCACCATGTACCAAGCTTTCGGTTGCAGGTCAAAAGATGCCCAGGTGGTTTATATTAACGTAAACCCCCTAAGTTTCTTGTCCCAGTTGAACACTATAAAGGGTGATTCACACACTAGTGTTGAGCCCGGCCAAGTGCGAGGGTTGCTATGGCAACAGTTGTATCGGCTCCAACAAAACGGGGTAAAAACTGGTTTGGTTGGAGCCGATGTAGCTGTTGCCATAGCAACCATCGCACATGGTTGAACTGAACGCAAGTGTGTGAATCACTCTTAATTCAGGATTCCATAAAACAGCAGCGCCTCTAATGCTTTGCTTATCCCAGCAAACATCATTGTCAAAACCTATTATGCACCCAGTTTTCTATGAATGTTTTGTAAGGACAAGTTTTTATAACTCCAGTTACAGACATCATAGCTATGGGGAAAATTCTTACTTCCTTGACATACAGGGCTGAACAATCAGCGTGTCGGATTCATTAGGCTTCAGGCATGTGGCCTTAACCCATTCGCTACCGCGCGCTACTGGGCCGTCTGTACCACGTTTTTCTCCTAAAACGGCCACACTAGGTGCGACTGTTTTGCTTCTATAATAAGCTTTTACAGTAAAACTCGGTGCAGAAAACAAGGAAACATGTCTATTTACATGCTTAAGTGGTCTGTTCTAGTCTTTAAGTCAATAGGCCCCTGCAGATTCTTTCTCGTCAGAAAGATCTTGAAGCACTCCATCCTCAATTGTTTGGGCGTCGCACAATCAGTGCGCTCTTGTCGTAATTCGGACTCAGAACTGCTGTTGGGACTGCTCCCGTCGTCGACAGAAGGCTCTGAAAACTCACTATCCTCACCAGACGTCCCGTCATCATCGCTGCCGAAGAGAATATCTATGATTTCATCGTCAAAAAGGCCACACCTACACTGGACGCTGCCATCTTCTCCAAGCAGGCAGCAATCGAGTGGGAAAGACAAAACACAAATGAACAGGCTCGAACAAACTCAACGAACAGAACTACCTTCGCCATCTGTTGGCAATGTATCTAACTACACTACCCCGAGTCTACATAGCGCACCATGTATGAATGGCTTTTTAGAACAGAAATTCATGCAGACCGGCGATTTGCCGGCCTTGTCAATATGGCCCCTGATGGCACGCCCGGCGATTCGCCGGCTTTGGTAGCGAATGGGTCAAATGAAGGCAGATTTGACTGTCGGAATAGATTAGAGAATTTTCGTCAGTTGTCGAAATCTTGGTTAGAGCTTTGTATTTGCACACCTTGACAGGAGGAACCAAAGCAATAATTAAAGCAGTGCCATTTTGCTGTTTTAGAGGCCTATCTGTACAATATTTCTGAGCAGGGATCACCTCCTTTTGTGCTCATCTACAGGTAAGAAAACAAGGTCCTCTGTACAAACTATGGAGAGCAATACAATCTACAGAATTGCAGCTGTGATAAACACAATTTAACGAAAGCAGTTATTTATTAGGTACTGTATAAATGAAATTTTGCTTGCACGTGAAAGATACCAGGATAGCCTAAATTAATCTGGTCTTTTCATCTGCCTTTCACTTGTCTGGCAAGTAAACCCCAAAAATAAAATTTTTTAAAATTTAAGGAACCCAGCAAAGTCCTTCGATTTGGCTTGCAGGCACGAGGCCATTGAAGGAGAAATCAGATGTAAAAACTATGTGCCAGCCTTTAAATGTAGCTTCCAATAAGGTCAGGTTTTGCTTCGTTCCCTGTCTATCAACTTTTGTTCAATTCAAATTTCTAATTTAGAAATTATTGACGTCGGAAGTGGCATAGCCAGAGGTGGGGCTTATGCAGTTTCAGCATCCCCAAACTCCAGCCGACATGGGCATGGGGGTCAAGTCATGGACATCCCAGTCACCCCGGGTCTGGTCATAACGGCACATAGTGCCTCTCAGTTTCCTGAGATGTCCGGAAACCATGTTCACTCGTGGAGTCCGTAGGGCACGTCGGGCTCGTCGTCGTCGTTTGTTTCAAAGTCGTGCGTTTTGACATCCAAGTCTTCCCCATACTGAATGGCATTGTCGATCATGAGCAATAAATCGGCAATGCTCTCTTCCACCTTGATGTTGAGGGGCATGAACTTGACCAGGCTGTAGTCTTCGATCACTTTGGCGATTGCCTCGGAGAGTCGACCATACTTCTCGTCAAACTGCCTGTCGTCTTCGACTAGCAGGTGGATGTCTGGTTCCAAGTAGCGGCTGATTTTTCTCCTACCTGCTTTGTTAAGCAAATCCATCTTTGTGATCACGTTCACGTGTGGGGTCCCGAAGTTGACCATCGCAGAGAGGGCAGACAGCACGCCGGAAAAGAACTTCGTGGTCTCCACCATGAACTGAGAGTCGATCAGGAACACTCCGCACACGCGAAAATCCCACGATTGTAGGACATCAATGAGCTTTTTCATAACGTCGAGGTGAGTGTAGAGCTCAATCTGGCCGGGGCAATCGAACAGGAAGTAGTCATCGACGTCCTCACCGAGCTGTTCGCGGAGCCAGTCAACGTTTTCGACGAGGTATTCGAGGCAGAACACGAGCCCACCGTTGGGCCCAAAGCGCAGGTCTTCGTCTTCCATGACGTCGTCAACGTGGATGAGACTTCTGATGTCGAAGGCGACGTTGTAGTCGAAGTACTCGGCTGCTGGGTCCAGGTTTACAATGTGGACTGTTCGACCTATGGCCTCGCAGTGCTTGGCGATTGTGCTGCAGTAGGTGCTTTTCCCGCTGCCCGCGGGCCCCATTACCAGTTGAGCGTACCTCATATCGACGAATACGAGAGTAGAATGTCCTTTTCCTTTTGTGCTCCAGGCAAGACCAGGAGGACGTATCTTCCCAAACTACAACTAAGATCAGCTTTCCTGCCGTCTGCAGAACTGGTAGAACAGATGCAATATTGTGGGACAAAAACACGGAATCCCCGACACATGCACCAGCTGATGCACAACCGCCATTATCATTCTTGGATTGGCTTGGCCTGTGGGCGCTGTGGGCTTGCCTTTGATTAGAGTCTTTAATTATTTGGGTTTTCTAAAATTAAAAATAACGGAGCATTAGTGTGTTGCTGTGTTTAGAAACAAAACCTCAACTTAAATAAAACCATAATAGTAGAAAACTATTAAATCCATGCGTAATATTTAGTTTCGGTTTAGAAACGCTTTAGGAAGCGATTGCGGCGATCTGGATTATCGAATGGTCGGTTATTTTGAGATGTTGAAAGTTGAAACCTGTTTTTTTTTTTTTTTTTCAAGTAAAATAGACACAACGTAAACACATATGCAGGCACAAATACCTGTGTGCAAACCGCATGGGTATGCGCTTGTCAAGGAGTCGCTAAAAGACAACAAAAACAAACAAACAATTGTAGCGTTTTGTTTACCGCAAAAATAAGCTACGCGTCGCCAAACGCTGTACCCACCCAAATGTAGAGCTAACGGTCCGCACCAGATGCCAAAGTTTTAGAGCTTTCCGTTATCTAATTAAAAAACTATAAGCGATTTTCAAAATTTCTAATGGGAAAGTGGCGTCCGACGAAGCCCACAACCACAGGGAGATAAATTTCGTAGGCTGCCGGAAACAAAGCCGCCGGGAACAGACCTCATTTTCTCATAGGAAATTTCCGAACTTCAACTCTTTCGTTTTCTTCTCTGTTTTCTCAAACAAGTTTACTCGGCGTCATGCACCATTTGCCCAACAACTAGTCTTGGCAACTAAACAGTTCCATACTTAGTACATACTTTTTGACGTAAGAAAACATGTTAACTACTGGGCGATTTAATTGCAAATTGTGCAGGAAAAAGGAGTCTTGTTTCAGAAGCTTTTGAAGAAAGAAATATATATCTCGGGCAAATTTTTTTACAAGGATGAAACGGAAAACCGTTGTTTGGGTCATTTTTTTATTTCTCGAGTTTTTAACTTCTAAGAACCAAAGGCGGATTTGGGGATTTTGGCGATCGTCACAGGTCGTGCGTCTAGGGGCTTCGCCAGGCTCAACAAAAAAAGAGAGAGAGAGAAAAAAAAAAAGAAACTGTTTACATGGTTTATTAAACAACAGTAAAATATCCAAATAATCATAAAAATTGTTTTTTTTTATTTTGTTTTGTAAAAAATCGAGAACCCCTTTGAACGATAATTGACCTGGTTTGATGGATTACGACTTTTGTTACATTTAATTTTATGGCATAAACTATATATCAAATGAAAGATTAAACAAATGCCTATTCATCAGGGAGTTATCATGGTGAAGAGCGCCTTTGAATACGTGAAAACGCTAAAAGTACATATTTTAACAAATTTTAACAAAAAGAAAACTTTTTTTTTTTTTTTTATGAAGCGCTTTTAAAGTGCTTTGAAACAGGGGTCGGCAACCTTGTGCTGCTGCGGGCCAAACCGCGGCAAAGCGGAGACGATGCGTGCTGAGAGGAGAAACAGAGATTAGGGGGAGAGGGGGGGGGGTATTATCCCATTAAAATGAAAGGTTGATTTGAAGTTTATTTTTAGAGCGCAGCTCTTAGGCACCCGCTTCTGGCTTGAGCGACGTCGCCGTCGGAGTAACCGTCGGGACGTTTCGCATAATGTGACATTTCCATAATGCGAAACGTCGCCGTCGGCGTCGGCGTAACCACGCTTTGCATTATGGGATGCTTCTCATAATGCAACACGCGTTTACGCCGTCGCCGTCGGGACGCTTCGCATAATGCGACGTCCATAATGCGACAGTGACGTTTCCCATAATGCAACCCGCGTTGCATTATGGGAAACGCCACTGTCGCATTATGGGAAACGTCATATTATGCGAAACGTCCCATAATGCAACGCGTGGGCAGTGGAGGAGGAGGGGGAAGGAGGAGTGGAGGAGGAGGGAGGAGGAATAGGGAGGAGAAGTGAGGAGGAGATGAGAAGGGGAGAAGGACTGGAGGAGGAGAGAGCACGGATGAGGGAGGAGGGGCATACTCTCCTCTCCATACCCTCCCCTCCTGCTCCTCAAGCGTTGCGCTCTAATTCGGCGTTACAGGGAGCTGTAAACGTCTTTTTTTTTTTTTTCTGAACAACCGAAAGGGGACCAGAGACTAAATGTATAAATGCCTGACAAAGGTGTCTGTCCTCTTTGCGGTTCGTCCATCCAGTACACAACAAACGAAACATTAAGATCTACTGAATGTTTCGCTACTACGAAAATTTTAAACAGAAAATGGACAAACCGATCTTGAAAGCTTACATTTAAATACCTACACACAAGTGGAATACCTAAATACCTACCACTTCAGTGGAAAATACAATGAAAGAGGAAGACAGAAAAATATGGGAGGTTAGAATGCAGGAAAAATCAGCTCTAACAATGTACAGGACACAGAAACAGGACATACGAAAGGAAAATGTGTTTGGCAATTCACTGGGAAGTTTTTTTACTGTTTGAGGCGAGAACGGGAGTTTTGGAGAGGAGGGCGCATAGGGCTCAATTTCAGGGGACAGACACATGATGAGAGCGAGACACTATAGTGCACCTTGCTTTGAGGTACACGGGGCTTCGCCCTGCCCTCCCTGAAGGGGTAACAGATTTGGCCGAGGCCTTGGATTTTGCTGGCGACGATGGAAGGACGGAAGAGAAGACTCAGAAGAGGATTACAGTCACAAAGAGGCGATAAGAAGATTGGTGGAAATTATCTAGGGAAAATTGAATGATGCACAACTAACTAGCACAGCTGGGGACAGGCGGGACAGAGGAAAATTCGTTCTCCCTCCCCCAAATTTTCAACCCTGCCCTCCAGTGGGCCCGGTGCTATAAAAACGCCGACAAGATTTGACCAGAAGAAAATTGACGACTCCTTCGCCGTCGGAAAAAAGTGGGAAGTGATTTTTTTTTCCCGGTCCCCTAAAGGTCATTTTGGCTTAGAAGGGCGGGAAGAATCATATGTTTGTCTTTTTATGTTTAGGCTAGGTGGCGCAAGCTACCACCCGTTACAAAGGGTTTAGCCATTAATATCTTTCCATCCATCCATACTATACATAGACATACATAGTTTTATATGAAACAAACAGAGATCATATTACTCTTTCTACAAATCATTAAAAAAATTCTTAATTACGGCGAGCAAACAAATTTACAATCGTAAAGGTGGCTACAGATAGATGCCACCGCCCATCATAAATGCCTTTAGCTCTTTTTTTTAATTTAAGACAAGATTTGTTAAATCTTGTCATTGAATATTCAATATCTGAGTGATATGCAAGAATGTTTTCTTGATGGTTAAAACGCGCAATAAAACAACAGACAGAAAGAAAGGCACAGACACAGCGCTTCCTTCCTTTCTGTGTGTTGTCCTGTTGCGCTTATACCCATTATGAATCACCAACTCGCCCAGCTCTCCACCCTCGTCATGTTTTCTTGATTCAGGCACACGTAACGTAAGATTGCTCAAGCCCATTCTCATACGATTTTGAGGGTTCATCATTGTTTGCCAAGATGTGAACTTTCGCACTAAAACACTCGACTGAGAGTCGCAAAACATTTTGAAGGTGCTAATCTGTCATTCGCAAGACGTATGTTTGACTTCACGGTCTTCGTCCTAAAAAAAGTATGCTCGCAGATACATACGTGTTGTAGCGAACATTGTGACAAGGACGCTGTGAGATTTTGTCGATTTAAAAACTTTAATGAAGAAAGGCCAGCGGAAAACTTAACGAAGTCGTTCGCTGAAAATGCAGTCTTCAGCTTATTACCTGTTTCGGACTTAATTGATCGGTGAACTGATATGGCGAATTTCTTGGACTTGTTACGAGTTAATATGTCCGATTATACCGGATTTACAACCAAATATACCTCTTGTCCGGGAGTGTGTTGGCAAGGGGTGGTTAATTTCTGGAGCCGTGCTGGGGGCCGCATAATATTGCCCCGCGGGCCAGATACGGTGTGCGGGCTGCCGGATGCCCGACCCCTCGTCTAAAACACTCAATAAATATAAGATGTAATATAGGGTTTAAATATATAAATCCGTACATTTGAAAAGGCGATATATTTGAAGTTACATTTTAAGATGCCAAGCATGGCCGTCGTGATTTGTATTTAAATAATTAATTTTAACGCACAAAAATATAAAAAAAAAGCCGTGAAAGCTACACAAATGTGGTCTACGCAAGTGAGTAATACGGCCAGGCGGACATTATGTTTAAGAAAAAATGCAACTAAAAATTACTAATTAATAAACAAAAACTAATTACATTTTTAATCAGGCGTTTTAGGGCACACGTTTATATTGAAGAAATGAAGGCAATAAATATTGAAGGCCAACCCAGTTCTTGAACATTCTGTCTCGAGCACTCAGTTGGGATTACTCATTGTCAAATTTTGTTCTGGAAAGCTGTGGATACCTAAACAAATTCGCAGGATGACCGCCGGAAAGACAACCCTCGTTTGACGCCGGAGGGTCACGTGTTTTTCAGTGATTTTGCGCAGCTATACAGGGTGCTTCACGAAAGGTGGACATATTCGATATTGCGAAAACTAGGGGTGTCGCGAACCAGCCGAGGTTCGAGTTCGACCAGGTTCGACTTTTCGAACTTTTAGTTGAAACTTCGACGAACCTTCTATTGAGGTTCGACTCGTGTGCGCATGCGCGACAGGCTGGCCAGTTGGCTTCGGATGGGATGGTGATGGCTAAGGGATAAATTAAGGGCAGCGCTGATTGGTTATTTCAGTTAATCAAGTACAAAAAATTAAGTTATTAACTTCTTTAGTGATTAGAATTAGTTTATTTTAATTGTAGCTGTTCACAAAATTAAAATAACCCTTTGTATAAAAATATAATTCTCCAAACCTAGACATGCTTGTATCACGGTCGTCGAAAGTTCGACCTACAAATCCGGTTCGACAGAAGTTCGCGACACCCCTAGCGAAAACTACGCATCACACCCAAAAAAGGCTTGTGTCGTTTTGATCCTAGGCCAGGGGTCTATTTAGGAAAATTATGAAAGTTCGAG